CAGTTGGTTAAGGTGCGCTGACTCTGAGCTTCAAATTTGGCAGGACACGACTTCAATTCCTGGTACCTGCAGTCTCAAAAAATTATTTACGAATAATTATATATAAGAATTATTTCCAAGACCACTGATGATTCATTTAATTAAAATGATATAAAATGAATTTTTGTTGTCATATTTCACTACTATTCGAAAAACCTCCTTTATTTTATATATATAAAATATAATAAAAATGAAATTAAATATATAATCTTTAATGTGTTATTGAAATGTGCAACAATGTTTTGAAATTTTTTTTTTTTGCTATAAAACGATATAAATAACTCGACTGTATTTATAAATTATAAATATAATCGATAATTGTGAATTTCAATATATTTACTAATTCATTTGCTATCTTTATAACAAAATCTATTTTACTTTGTCTGTGATATACGTATTTCGTTTTAGTAACAACTCGCTAAAGTAATTTAAAAGACAGCAAAACAAATTAGTTTTAAAAAATATCTTCAAATTTCAATTACAACACAACTTAAGAAACTTTATTTAGTAGGTCTTATATCAAGGACTACAACCGGTCAAATGATGTCAACCCATTTGAATTTAACCTATTATTTACGTTGATGTAATCAGAGATTTACAAAAGGGACTAAGCTGACAACATTTACAAATAATAATTTATGTAATATTATTATTATTTGCAAAGTTAATCAAATTTTTCATAGCAGCTAATGCTTATTTTTTATATCTGATCTATTAAAAACCATCTATATCAAATAGTAATAATAATGATTTTCAATTATATATAAAATTGTTGTCCTTAATGATGTGCATAAGTAAACCTGAGTAATACAGTATCTTATAAAACGTAAGAGTGTTATGATATTGGTTTAATACTTTATTAACTTTTAAAATAAATATCAATGTATTTACCAATACCCCAAATGCTCTTATATACACAGATTTTAAAAATAGTACCTCTTTGGGTGAATTATACCACCACATCCCAAAGTGAATTTAAACTACATCTATTTAGTTGTGTAATTCAATTGGTATTATATTAATTTGATAAAGATTATTTATATCTATTATTTTACTTAGTACATCAATTAGGGTTAGATTAGGTTACACCGGCGATTTGAGCGAGATCCACTTAGGCCTATAGTCCCATTGTGCTATCGTAGTGCATCAATTAAAAATTAAATAAATTTTGCTTAACAAATCTTCTTTATTTTAAATACTATGTGTTGTTTCACAATCCATTTATAAAAAATATAGAGACAGACTGTCTCCATGCTTGAATTGATAGTAATATGATATGATAACTAGAACAATAAAGAATGTTCATTTTAACTTTGTAGACAATATCATTCAAGTTTAATGTATATTTTTGTGTTATTAATTCTACAGTATATAAGTTATTTAATATATGATAATATAACTTCTTTCACCTTATTAAATCGATATTATAAATACACTCAGAATTTTATTCAATTTCGTAAATACACTACCAAAAAAATAATTTAAAAATAAAAAAAAAATATTTTAATATATTAAATTATTTATTTGAGAAAATCACATCAAATTAATTAATTTGACGTACTTTATTGTAATAATCTTATCTTATTAATAAATTTCGATGTATGTATATATGTATATAATCTTGAGGAAGCACACATGAATGTGCATTTGTTTTCGCTTTGTAAATACATTTATAATTTACTTTATTATACCTTAAAGGAAGCGTTTTACAAAAAATTATTTTTTATCTTTGTTTTTAGATAAATATGGATTTAAATAAACAACATGGATTCATTGAAACCAATGAAGATAGGTCTAGAGCAATGTACTACAACAGGGGAATGAATATGAATGAATCAAGACATCACAGACAATATTTTATACCGGAGAGAACAATAGGCAATAACAAGGCATGTGCGTGTTCAAGCATGCCAGGCAATATAATGTGCAATGAATGTAGAACTAATACAACCACTGAAGATGGTGGTTGGGGTTCTCAACATATATCAAGATCAGATATAAGGAATATTGATACAAAAGGTGCAATTAAACAAAATCCACTTTATATCAACTCAAGTGGCAATAATAATGCATACTGGCAACAAAATTGTTCGACTGCTGTTCCACAAATGGACAGAAATATCTTAGTTAAGCCTTCCACAACTGATACAAATTATAGTTATAAGCAACAATATCAACAATCTGATGGTATACCTAATCATCAACGTGCAAATTCGATTAGTACTTACTGTAAGGAACGTTCCTACAACGAATATACACCTAAGAGTGAAGTCAAAATATCCTACATGCCCTCAGCTACTTCTGCAGCATCAATATATAATATAGATAATCACAATAACAATACAGGTGGTGTACTTCGTTCTGGCAAAACTGATCAACAAGTAATTAATCCTAGTAATATCCTTTCTACAAAGGAACAACATCCAAGTCCTAATTATGCTCGAAAATGTCCACAAATATTTTCACCTGCAGAACAAAATTCTACACATATGAGTTTGTATATGCCAACCCCTCAATTTAGTTCAGATAAATTCATCAATGCTCATAATCAAAAATTACGCATGGAATCACCACAGCACGAATATAGAACATTGAATAATACGACAGTACAAAAACACATAATGTCAGAAAAAACAAAATTGTCAGAAAGTCCAGTACGTTTGTCATCTCCAATGACTGGTTATACAAATGCAAATAAAAGCAAATATCCAAGTAATGAATTGTTGCAGCCAGTTCAGTCAAATATAATGCAACAACAAACGCCTTATAGATCTAATAATGGTCAATCAAGAAATATTGATTATTTTCCACAGAACAATCCCAAGGTGCATGCGCCGGAAATGTCACCCATCATAGCAAAGCAATCTCCTCATGCTGCTTATCAGTATTCTAACTGTACCGTACCACCACCACCACCAACTTCACACATATTACCATTAAGAGGATCAACAAATGATTTAGATTATGTTAAAAAAGAAGATGATCTGTGTGACAGTCTTGGTGTACCAAATCGAAATTTATATATAAATCCTTATAACACTCCACCTTCTTCTGATAGTTGCTATAAAGAATCTTCATCACCTTTTTTGTCTATATCTCATTATCGTGACGAATCACCGCACAGTTACAATAAATATAGTAAATCAACTCAAGAAATTGATGTAGCAAATAAGATCATAAATGTTAATCAAAATACTCCACCGCTAAGTAGAACACCTAGTTTTCGAAATCAGCAATATTATTATGAAACCTCCAGTAAATATGATGGAAGTCCATATGGCACACCATCTCCAGCAGTGGCTACCGTAGCATCACCATCATCAATATTATCTACACCACAAACTCAAACACCACATCACAATGAATACACTTCACCATCACATCGAATGCAGTCTTATCAATCAGCCGCTATTGAAAATCGACGACACTCCAATCAAACGCAAGACAATGTTCCTTCTCACATCGATGCATATGATTTGCCAATTTCGCAGAAGTCTAAAATAAATTGCCCTAATAATATTCCAGCAATACCAAATCAAACTACCGGAATAGTACAAACAGCCCAACAACCCAAGAAATCTCATGTTCCAAAACCCAACTATAAAGAATTAATTAATCAGGCTTACGCAAGGCGTAATATACCTGAGGAGGAACTTAATCTACAAATTATAAAAAAAACTCTAAATGTTGATACCCAAGTTATAAGAACTAATGTCAATAATGTTCCAAGAGCAGCAGCACAAGTTGATAGAGTTCAACAAAGTTCACCGCATCTTGTAAATGTAGTTAACAATCAACCAAATATATCGCCGGCACCAGATACATATAGAAACGAAACGTATCGTCCAGATCTTTTACCACATCATATGCAATCACAAGCGAGAACACCGGTTGGACCTATAATTTCAAATATAAGACCACCAGTAATAAAACAAGAAGAAAAAATATCTAATTATTCCCCCCTGGATCTTTCTATGCGTACAGTGAAAACAAAGGCTGATTCCACTGAATACAAATACAAATGTTATTCGTCAAGTTCTCCAAGCGTTGACTGCAAATATGGTTTGCCAAGAGTAGATTTTACACCTAATTTTTCTATGCATGCTTCTGATAGAAATGTTATTATAAAACCAAATGGACATTCACGAATGGAACAAAATGAGTGCGTTACTTACACATCAGCAGACTTAAGTCACATTCCTGCCATGACTGTGCCGCGAGGTGAACAAACTCCTTTGCCTAAAAAGCAATATAATGAAAGTAATTCACTAATATTTAACAACTCAACCCAATATAAAGCAAATCCACGAAGTGCTGTAATACCAAATGAGCCGGCATTGACTTCAAAAGCTAACTTACAGCGGAAAACCGGTTCTCTTGTAATAAAATCAACAACAAATGCCGTTGTTAGTTGTGATGTAAATATATGCCAAGTACGCCCAAGTGTACTGGAAACAAATCCTTTTGCAACTGTTAAAAGTATAAAAAGTGAACCGAAAATTTCGGAAAGAAATATGTTTGCAGTTGATAAATTACCACCAGATACTAGTATTATGCCTTTACCAAAGACTGTAGTAACTGGTCCACCTTCGAATCCAGGCATACCTCCAATAGATAAAAAAGTTGAACCTGCAACACAATCGAATTATCATAAAGCATGTGAACTAAATCGCAATTATTTGGGAAGGAAGCGTCATTTACATGAATACTCTAATTCCAATCTGAACTATGTTGAACCAGTTTCTAAACAACCGCGATATCAAGAACCGTATTCAAAATTCGAAAATATGCGTTCTGCAGATATATCTGTTATTGCGGTTAATGAGAAGTCTTTAGAAAACGAAAAAAGTAAAACAGCTGAAAAGTCTATCCAGGCTGAAGTTACAAATTACCCACTACCACCTAACCATATAGATATACCAATTGTTAATGAAAACATAGTTTTTAAAGAGGAGCCTGTAACGCCAACTTCAGATGTTGTTCCCATACCAATTACGCCACCAGTTCCAGTAAAAACAGAAACTAACTTTGCTGCAAGAATTAGAACGAAAGCTGAACTTAAAGGATTTACTTTCAATCCACCAATTGAAAATACAGACTCCACACCGCCGATAATATCAGTACTTCCTACTGTAATAAAGGAAGAACCTTCTGTTCCCGTTTCAAACATAGAGTTGCCGTCCATATCTGGTTTAACGGAGGATTTTAGTGCCGGAAGTCTTTTAGATTTTAGTTGGGATAATACATGTAACAATTTTGTCAAACAGTTACTTACGAACAAGAAAAAACCAATAAAGAAAAAATTAATTAACGTGGTTAAAGAAGAAATTAGTGAAGATGACTTGCCTGTTTCTACTATAGTAAATAAAAAGTTATCTATTCCAACAGCAGATGTGCAACGTGAAAAAGATGACTCAATGGATTGTTTGTTAGCAGAGAATAATATTTCTAACATGGAATCTGCCACAACTACTAATTCTCAGATTAAAATGGACACAAATGAAAGCAATAAAACGTCAAAGTCAACATTTCATGAGACTGTTTCATCGCAATCTGCAAATGCGAAAAAGATAGGAAAGTTAGAACGAGGAAAAATGAGACAACAGCAAGAGAAGAGATTCGCTGCTCGTTTGCCAGATGAAACCAGCTCCGAATCCGATAATGAGTTGGATAAAAGAAAAACAGACCGTTTAAAGAAACCACTGAAGAAAAGTAAAATTAGAAATTTGAACACTGTAACTGAAAAGAATCGTTTTTCAGATTGTGGTTCTGATTCTACGACGGAATCAGATGATAAAATTCCGTTGTCCAAAAGTATTAAAAAATCAGAAATAACTGAGAAAACAGAAAATACAAATTGCGATGCTAAAATAGATGAGTCAAAGAAAACTATTACGAAAAGTTCACATGAGAAGAAAGAATTGAAAAAATGTAATAAAGAAGCTTTGGTGGAATGCAATTCAAGTTCTAACAAAACAAATCAAATTAAAAAGTCAGTCAATCTGACTAAAACAGCTGATAAAACTAAGATATCAACCAAAGTGGAAAACAAATTAAATTTTAGCAAAAATGTGGAAGAGGATACCACTACCGGTAAAAACAGAGTTGAAAAAACTAATAAGAAAAAGACATTACAAACTAAAGTTGGTTTAAATACAATGACTCGATCGAAACGAAAGAGAGAGTTGGAAATGCAATTAGCAAATAGCAAAGTTTTACGAAACGATAAAATAATTCGAAACTCAACTACAAAAATCAAAAGAAAATATGTGAAAAAGTATTCTAGTAATCAAAAAGATGCTATAAATAGGGAATCCAGCGAGATATTGAGCACTCGACTAAGATCTAGAGGTGATAAAACCGGTAATAAATTGAAAAATAATATTTTGACAAATAATACTGAAAAGGGAAAAAATAGAAGTGAAACAAAGAAAATGTTAATAGCTAAAAAAAGGGAAAATGAGGAGGACGAAATTCTTGCTGCATACCGATATAAACGATCACTTAAAGTTCCACCAAGTCTAATAACTATTAAACATCCTCAAAATCATAAGATTGCTGCTTCACTGCCAGATTTAGAAACACATTATGATGATTTCAAATCGATGTCCAATATGAAGTCCAATGATGATGAATCGAATCTGAAAAGAGAAACCCATTCGGAAGAACCGCGATCAATTATTGATCTGCTGCACTCACGTGTTATTAACAAGGCTGCTGTTGCATCAAGAATTAAAGCAAAGACTGCTAAACAAACAAGTAATAATGGCAGTGTAAAAAACAAAAATGAAAATTCACAAAATACCGAAACCACTCCATTAGGCGAACTATTACCTGCTATTAAAAAAGAAGATGATGAATCTAATGATGGGAAAAAACGTCATTTTAGTATTTTTGAGACGAAAGTGTTGCAGACGAAAACCCGTACGGAGTCTAAACTTCAACAAAGGAAAGAAATAATTCGGGAAATATTTGTAGGAGATGATCGACCCGCTTCTGCGCCGCCAGAAATGATACAATCCAGTGATGGCAATGGAAAAATGACTTATGAACAAACATATGAACAATTTTTACAACAAATGAATATTATTATAAATAACGAAAAACTTCAGAAGTTTGGAAGAGCAAACGACACAATAACAACGGCCAACACGACTGCATTTCAAGTTCCACATATTAAACAAGAAGATGATACTGAAAGTGCTAGTGCTTTAGATGCTGACGAAAAATATGATTGCGATAATCAGCAAGATGCTATGTCAACGCATTCAGGCATTCAAAACAGCTTCAAACGTAGGAGACCCACAAAGTACTTACGTAGGAAAGGTAGTTCTGGTTTTGATTATATACGTAAAAAGAAAAAACCTACTCCAATTGGCACAACTACAAATCTACAAGTGCAAACAGTTATAAAAAGCGAGGAGAATGAGAGTGAAGTAAAAGTTAAAATAAAAACAGAAGATGACGTGTATCGTGAAATGCAGAAATGGGTTCTAAATAAGGGCGTTGGACAGAGTACAATGCATAAGGCAGCGCGTCAAGGTTATATTGATGTGATTGTTTATTGTTTAGATCGTATGGGAATGAATCCTGATCAAAAAGATAATGCAGGTTATACACCTTTGCATGAGGCATGTACAAATGGCTGGTTAGAAATAGCCAGAATATTATTACAATATGGAGCTAATCACTCAGCGGCAGCACATTCAGGCATAAGACCGTTGCATGAAGCAAGTGAGAACGAGCATGATGAAATTGTGCGCTTATTGTTGTCGTATGGAGCAGATCCATTATTAGCTACTTATTCAGGTAAGGAATGTTATACTTTCAAATGTATTAAATACATGTCTTTTTGTTATTAATTTATTAACACTTTTCTTTAAAAATTTTGTTTTGATTTTGTTTATAAATAAATGCTATTTGATTTAATTAAATAGAAGAAATAATTCCGAGACCACCAATGATAGGTATACTCGAAACAGCTGTATGGTCAAACAAAAATTCAATTAATTAAAAGAATATAAAAAAGAATTTTTGTTGTTGTAGTGTACTACTTTTCGAAACCTCTCTAATAATTACTTATAATAATTAATAGTTGAACACTAGATCTTTGCATTATAGAAATAATTATTATTTTTATAGTTTGGTTCAACGCTAATACTAGTACGGCCGTACATGCTCTCTCTGTAAAAAGTATCCGTTATTTATAATTTATAAAGACTATACTTTAAAGAGCACATCGTTGTAAAAGACTTTTTTGAAAAACCAAACAATATGTTTGACAAAGCACGATACTCATATGATATGGTGCCGAGTAAGTCACTTTTTTTTGCTCTTGATACTAAAATTGCTACGAAGTAGGCAATTCGATACAATTGCGGCCATAAAACGAAATTCGCTGAAAAAGTTGAAGACCATACCTTGCCTACAAAAAAATATATGAGTCCCAATTTAGTACAGTTCCACTCGGTTTAAAAACGATAACCCATTAAAGTCTGCCTATAGATCCGCTCCAACGATTTAAATGAAATTTAATTTTTTAATTTATGTCTATTAGAGATCGCGGAAGTTGAACGACACAAAAATTTTTTTTGATATTTTAAAATATTCCTGAGATATAATATAGGTATTTTATACCCGACAGGTGTTGGTGTGATATGTTTTTTTTTTCATCAATTTTACTTATTTTGCATATCCAATACATGGAGGACAATGCAATAGATATGTAAGGGTCCTCATTTTTTCTCATTTCCTAATATTTTGCAACACTTTTCCCAAAGATTTTCCGACAAATAAAAAACCGTGATTTCAACCTATGAAAAATTAAAGTTAACCAGGTAAAAATTATGCTATTCTATTTTTATGGATGTAAAAAAAATTTATGGTGATATCTTTCACTTAGTTCGCGCTAGGATGGCTAGGATTACGTGTCTACACTTTCCTGGATATTTAGGCTTAATTTAGTTAATTATTAGTATATTAAAAACTTTAAATAATCTTTGGATTTTTGATGTGAAAAACAAGATGAGTGTTGTTAGTCTTTTTGGCTAATTTGAGCTATAAGTATTAAGGACATATGGGTTTATATTACTAAATTTTTTAAATTTCATACAATTTTTTTTATGATAGCAAACTCTTATATAGCATATCATTTGTTTATATATAGTTTACTTAGTTGGTCTGATTATACAGTATGCTATTTTTATATCTACTCATATCAAATAGGTTCTACTGTCGATATATTTAAACTAAATTATAGCTTATTTTAAAATTTTTATTTTGCTATCTATACATTCTCTTAACAACAAATTAAATTTAATATAATATATTACTCGTATTAATATACTTGAGTATAATGTTTACATATACTAGTGTATATATCCGATAAAAATAATTCTTTATTTTTTAGGTCAAACACCTTTAATGTTAGCTTCAAGCACTACAGTTAGGGATCTTTTAAATAGTCATTTAAGTGATGTACAAAATATTGGACCTGATAAAAAACCATGGAAATTTAATGGACCATGGGAAATTTTTGGTATGTATACGTAAAATTATTTCTAAATATACTATCTAATAATTAATCCTGTTAATTTTTATTCAAATTTCAGATTCAACGCAGTATGGTTATGATGTTTTTGCAGGGGCGCCGAACTTTACATGTGATATGAGCAGAGCTCTTAGAAAAAGTTCCGCATCAAGTGTGATAGCGAACAAAAAACAAATAAATCAGTATGGGGAGACAAGTTCAAAGACTGTTATGGACGAATGTGCAGTAGTGCTTGACAATATCGATCGTTTCAATACTGTTGGGTTGCAAAATAATACCAAGACTAAACCTGAATTTTTAGTAGAAAATTCAAATAGTGAAGCTGAAATATTTGAATTTGAGGAAGCTGATGTTTTACTACCGCCTCTATATTTATTGAAAGACGAAGGAACTGATAAATGGGTACTCCTAAGTGATTTGTGCAATTTACTAAAAGTAAAATCGAAGGATACGCTTCTAAAACAAGTATAATTACAAAAATAAATTCATTTTATTTTTGTTATTAATATTCATAATCTTATCTTATTTTAGATTTATCCATCTTCGTCCTTACCTTCCGCACACAAAAATCTTATGAGAGAATTAAAGATGTCCGATTTCCTGGAAAAAGCGACATGCCTACAACTTTTGTGCGCTGGTGAAAAAATAAATATATGCGCATCAAAGGTTGTTCTTATTAAATACAACGAGAGTGTTAGAAATTTATTAGGTGTAAAAACAATATTAACAAAATTTTAATATGATTTTCAAAAATTATATTATAAAATCATAGATATATATACATACATATATTAAATAAATTTAAATTTAAGAAAGTGAACGTGATACTAAGGTGCTATAAGAGAAGAAGGAAGTGTAGGTAAGACGTACATATTTATGTTTATTGATATAAAATGAAAGAAAGTAATTATAAATATTGAAATAATATGATTGTATAGTAAATTTACATATTAGATATTGAAAAATAATGTTTATGACCAACGTTTAATAATAATTATATAAAGATTAATATATTTCGTAATTATAAAATGTCTGTTTTTATTGTAATTATGTAATTATAAGCCTTGGTTTGTTATAATAATGCATTTTAATATGTTTTTTGGTGTAAATTTGTTAAATATTCAGTTATTTATGTAGGATTAAAATGAAATTCAACAAAAAATGTATTTTCAATATAATAAAAATTAAAATTAAATATGTTTAACATTAAAAATAAAATATAAAAAAACACATATAGGTTAATATTATACATATGAGATTCTTGAGTATATTTACGTAAACATGTCAAAAAATGGTTTTGATATGAGATATAGAAAAACGAAATGGATTATTATAATATTTGTTAATGAAATAAATTGATAGAGCTAATGGCAAGTAAACATTTACACTGATAAATATAGTTGTTAATTTTGTCTTATTAAAAGTAGTTTTAAAAATTTTTTCGACAAAAGTTGACCTGAATGATATATTTATATAAGGAATAATAATTACAAGGCATCATATTTTATAGTTTTTTATACATATAGATTAATTATTTAAATATTTATTTTTTGTTTCTTTGTTTCTAGTTTTTTCTTTTTAATATCTTATCCTTTCTTATTATCTTTTTATATTTTTTAAATTATGTTAGTTAATTCATATTACTGTTTAATTTAATTTTATTCGTTTATTAAATTCATATTCATATTGATCTTATTTTTGTCTTAATTATGATTTTCTTTGTTTATTGTTCTTTAAAAATAAATTTTTATTGCAATATTTATTTATAAGATTATGTTGAGTCGTAATTAAAATGAAAGTCAATTTTACTTCTTTAATTAATTAGATAGTAGTTAGAATTTAGTCTATAGCACAAAAGCTGTTTTAATTATCGAGATATGGGAACACAAACAAAAAATATATTATATCTCTCAATTTCCTAGTTAATAATGTTAACAGAATTCGGGAGTTATATACTTATTATATTGTTTTTTCTTTATTTACGATTAGTTAGATTTTTTGCTCATTCTAATTATTTAGCAATCTATCATAATAAAGTAATTGACAACAGCTTAAGCATTATTTAGAAGGAAATAATTTCGTTCCAAGTTTTTAATGTTTTCAATAATCACAGAAGAAGAACAAAAGAGTATGGCAATTTCCCATTTTCAATTGTGATCAACAAAACGTGCAGAAACAAAAAAGGAGACTTGAGGTTCTAATTTCAGAATATCTAATGATGTTTAAAACAGATTACAATCATTAGACGATCTAATCTAATTTTTAAGAGCGTCCACTGTAATTAATTTTCACGATAGGGTAGTATCATGGTAAATAGATTTAGCATAATATGTTACAGATCACATATTATGCTAAAATATAATAATACAAAGTTATTTTTAAGAATAAAACATTGATTGCCGTTACGCAAATAATCTTACTTAATACCGTTGAAATTAAAATTCACGAATCAGATAAATTCTTCAAATTATTATTATTTTCATACTCCAATTGGAGCTTAAGGAGTCTACAAAAATTGTCCACTGGTTTCTATTTCGTGCTATTGCTCTCAACTCGGGAAACGCTTTGTCCATCTGCTGCTGAACTATCCATCTCCAGGTCATTGCTGGTCTGCCTATGCGCCTAGTTCTCTGGGGGTTCCAAGTCAGTGCAGCATGCGCGATATCTTCATAAGGCTTACGCAGTGTGTGCGCAATCCACTTTATTTGGCATCGTTCTAGGCCACCACCATACATTTAAAAATATTGCGAACTAATATATTCAGTCTACTGCTGCCTGTTTTAATTACTTAGTTAAATGCCTTGAGTTGATTTTATATCTAGATAATCAATGCATATCCTTCACGTTGACTGCTAATTATTCTTTTTCTATATCTTAGCGGATTTACTTTACTTGCTATAGTGGTATAACTACGATTATACATATACTCCTAATATCAGTTTAAATATGAAGAAACATTCTCAGTGAAGTGAGAAACAAAATATTTACTAACAAATGAACGGACAATATAATTGCACATTTTTTAAAGTTTACTGAATTTTAATTAACATATTTAGTATATATAGAGTACCATGGTACATTAGGACGAATGACATTCTCAGGGACCTCAATATTGATCCGATCAAAAAATACATAAAGGATAGAGCCCTGAAGTTTTTTGCGAAATCTGAAAGACTTACCAATACCGCGTTATCAAATCTCAGAATGGTTACAGACTCCTCGGGGAGGTATGCAGATCTGTGGTCAATTATTGCTTAGTCTGATGAAGTGATAAACTTCATCTCTTCAAGGCATAAAGAGGGGTTTTGCAGAAACCTCGCAGTTAATAGAGAGTAAAAGTGCTCAGGTGCACTGTCTCAACTAGCTTCAACATAATATAGAGTTATTTATGTGAACAAAACTACAATATAAAAAAATAGCGTATAAATATTTGATCACATAAGATTATTCAGTTGTGGCCTCTTTTAGACGACCCGGACGCTCATCAAGGACACTAGTACGACCATGTTTAAATTCAGCTATCCAAAATTTAATTGTTGATAACGATAGTGCAAGGTTGTCGTAAACAGAAACCAATTCTAATTTGATTGCATCATTGTTCATTCCTTTCAAATGGATGGATTCCTTTCGCACATAAAAAATAATTGAGATAAATAAAATAAGTCTTGATTTATTTTTAAATATTCAAATTTTTTAAATTTAAATCAACATTAACTGCTGTACAATTCTTTTTATTTGTTTGTCTTGCTTCTAATTTTCGCAAGTTTCCCCATTAAAAAATGCAAATGCTGCCAAAGTTCAACAAAACAAATTTGAATTTTTTGTTCTTCCCACAACAGCTGGTTCCCAAGAAGCTCAGAATAGGGGAATTCAATTCTAGGGAGAAATACATTTTGGGGGAAAATTATTCCCTAGGAATATTCACAATAGGTGTTATTATATATAATATTTTAAGAGTAATCGTATACTGATCGGACGAATTAAGAGGTAAATAGCTTTTATTGCCCAGGTAAATTTTTTGCCAGATATAAAAAAAATTGCTGTGATATGAATCAAACAATGTCAAGGATATGAATCCCCAACAAGCAAATATGTAAAGGTGCATCCATAACAAAATGAACAAATGAGCATTCGCAGGTAATGTATACAACGAATCGATTTGTAGTGGTTGTTAGCGTTCGACAGGATTTGTGTTTGGCAAGGAATTCGTATAAAGTTTGATCCTTCGTTCTTTGTGCATCAATCGTAAAAGTAAACGCCATAAGGGAATGCTATGTAAAATTACATTTGATATAAAGAAAAGACTTAAAAGAAGAATAGAGAAATGAAATTTAATATAAAGAAATACCTTTATTAATCATTAAAGCCAATGTACAAATATAATTATCTTGAAAACTGAATCTTTAAACCTAAGTTTAAATTAAAACAATATAAAAGTAATAATCGCAAAGTCGAAGTGGATCGAATGATGGGAGTAACTGTTGACCACATAATTGAAAATTTCACCACCATCCGTTTATGTAAGTAAAAACACTTGTTGGTCTGCAGCATCATTTAGGGATTGATTTAATGGTGACTGCAAGGAGAAATATGTATTTGGAAATACTTCAGACGCTCCCAAATCAGCATCAAAAATAATATTTTTTTGTGCTTCCTTTAATATTTTGTAGGGTTCTTCTACTTTAGGGTTTTTCGTTGTGTCTACGCCTTGTTGATGCATTTTAAAAGACTTAAAAATTCTGTTTGCATCATCCTCCACGGAAAATCAACATCATTCAATGCTTATTTTTGAATTCGATTAGAATCACAAGTAATAAATAATAAATAAATGTATACATACTCCTTGTAGACCAACGTCAGTAACATTTTTTGGTGTGAATTTATTCAACAGGATAAATTTGCCTTAAAAGTAAACCATGTCATCAGAATCACTTCCAGACTTTCTTCCTTTTGTATATTGCGCTCGCGTCGCAAGAAAAACAATTACAAAGAATTCATTTTTTCTTTATTTTGTTGAAATCTGTTTCCATATGCTGCACAATATCCTTGCAGGCATCGGGTTTCATATTTTATTTAATTTATAATCAGCATTTGTACAGTTCCTGTAAACAATGTTCACGTACAATTCAATTAATTTAAAAATATGAATTTTTAATAAACAACAAATTCGGATCACACTCTAATCAGAATTAGACACTAATTTATTAATAGTAAAACTGGTTTTTATATAGTAACTTAAAAGTATATTATTTCTTAGAACTTATGAACTATAAAAATAGTTAATGAAAGTGTCCTTCAATAAATAGTTAATATAATAAATGTCTCCTTCCATGAATGAACTGTAAAAAATAGTTAATTATATGCGCAGATGTTACAAGAAAAAAGATTTCTTGAATATCTGCGCAAAATTACAAAAGATTGCGGAAAAAACCCGTGCTATGATAATGATCGGGAAAAACCATGGGCACAAAAATATTTTTATCATAAAAGACAATATTGTGAAAATTATAAAATACCTAATAACATAAAACATGTTAACACATTCTTTTATTGTTCCATCGATAAGCGAACATTCACGAACGCAAACAAATATTTCTTTTCATACTAACTATTCGTACTAAAGCGGTGTACTTTCGATTCTTTGCTGCTCACTGTTAACGTTACAGTTTCATCATTCTAAAAGAACATGAAACATACTTGATTGCAACATGAACACCATTAGCTATTCATATCATTGAGAAACAAATTTTTATTGTTGTAAACTATAGGGATCAGCTTGTGTAGTCCATTTTGGGTGTGGCATTGGTCCGGGATGTAGTCTCGGCTGTTTTCAGAACCAGGAACCAATTGCCGCTTTGCACAACACACATCGGTACAGTTATAAGATTTTTAAAATCGATATTAACCCATTAGCACAATAACCAAAAATAGTGCAATACAAAATTAGTGTCAATATTTTTACATAAAAATTCTTACTAAAAGTATTGTCGTTCCAGTCAATTGCCATATTACGTAAAAGCGCTAAAGCGATTATTAACTGTTAAGCAGTATTTTAGGAAGAGCAAATTTCATTGCTAACAACACTGAAACGTCGTTTCCACAAGCTAAGGCAATTAGTTGCTATAGCCCAGAAGCATGATTAAAGCTTTGTTCTTCTGGAACAGATGGAAATTTTATAAGTGTGAATAAGCATGAAGTACACATCAAATGAATTTCTCCCAAATAGAATACGACCACGGAATTCATTTTGTTGGAAACGATCTTTGATTCTTTTTTTAAGAACTCATTTGTATTATTCGTGTAATTATTATCCATCATTTTGCAATCAAGGTCACGTATTGTAAAGGAAGCATCGGAAACAATTTATAAATATAAATAAATATTAAAATAATAAAAAATAAAGCTATTTAAATGTTGTAACTATATTTGTACAAACTTGGATATGTATAAGGACTTTAGATGGATCACTATTCTTATTTGTTGTTCCATAACCTACATTGCGTTGGAAACGAAGCGTTGAAGGTCCGATAACTTGAGGCATTTATGTCAGCTCATGAAAAGCATATGTGATTAATTATTTTTCTGTAAGTGTAGCAGTTATACGTATGTATTGAGAAGCCTTTCATGCTAATACAATCACAAAACGTCTACTTATTTTATTAAGTATACGTTTACTGACACCATGTGCAAGTGCAGTCATTTTCGGATGCTGTTTGAAAAATCAAAACATACTTTTTTTATTAAACAAATGGTTCATATATTAATTTTATTACCTCATTTAAGCTCCAGTAACATATAGCTGCCATTATTTGAAGCTCCACCGGCACTTGATCAGATCGGGTTTCAAAGTAATTACCAATTTCTAAAACCACTCGTACCATTTCAATTATTCTACGCATATTGTCCTTTGTAAAATGGTATTGAGCTTGCAATTCCTCTTTCATATCTTGTAGGAAGTAATTCAAGATATTTGTATCCATGTCGATGTGCAAATGATATTGTAACAGATTTATAGATTAATTTATTTATTGTAAATATTTGTGGTAGCACCTTTTTCATATAAAATTTAAATATTAAACCTCGGTAAAGCATTATGGGTTTAAATGTTAACAGTGAACGGTTCACAGTGCTTGTTTTCGAAGGCACCATTACTTAGGAAGACTACAATATAAATATTCAATAAATAGAATAAACGTACAACATACGTTTAGATGTGTACTCAAGACAGGATTTTATTAATTTTGCTGCTAATGATTAAACACCTTTTCGTTTAATTTTTTTATTTATATGTAGTGAAAAAAGCTTATTGCTTGCAACGGAATTTGTGTACATAATTTGTTGTTGCTCCGAATAACAAACAAAAGAAAATTATTTTTGTAGTTGCCACACTTGATCGTTTAGCATGACACATGCGAAATACAATACATATATGTCGCTCATATACTTCAAACATCTTTATTAAGAGGAAAATTATTTAAAATATATGAAAAGTGTTCACAATGTTTGAAATAAAGCATATTAAATATTTCTTTATATATTTGTACTGCTTTCATCAAATGATTTTAAAAACATAAAAATTTTCAATCGGATTCTTTTCTTAATTCGGCTTTATTATTTATTAATTATTATGAACCTTCAATTTATTTTTTTACTTTACTTTTTTAATATTAGTTTTTCATTTATGTATATTTCATCGATTAGGAATGCTAAGTATTAAGATATGTGAAAACCGTCAAAAAATGTTCTTAATAAAGCAAACCATATTAAGGGCCATGTTATGCAGAGTGTCTCGGGCACGGGATGAGTACAATTGTTGTTGTTTTCAATGCAAATTTTAAATTTGAGAATGAGAGAAAAATCAATATGGCCGTTCAAACTCCGGCATGAGAGGCGGCGTATTTGTGCCCCGGCACTAAGGCAAAACAGTGTTGTTTAGTAATAAATTTCAAAATTTGCGCCTTTTAGGAGCAAACTACTACAATTCTAGTACGTTTTGGAGAAAAAATGGCAGTAAGCAACACAGCATTTTTTTTATAAATCGCTAATAATATAATTATTACACTTTCCGATTTTAAAGAAACGCGTAAGTACTGTTAACAATTATTATAAGATAATATAATAATAAATTAACATTATTACAGCCTCTATGAGTTTTTTCTTGCTAGTTGTTTTTGGTGGTAAATTGCAAATGAGCTATTCTAAATTTCCTTTTAAATTTAGGCACAACCAAGAAGTAGGTAAAAATACAAAATTGGCAATATTGATGTGACATTCTGCATAACATGCATTTTCGGCATAGCCCGAAAGAGCGAATTTTGCCGTGCCCGAGACACTCTGCATAATCAGGGCCAGGTTATGACAAGATTTTTGTTGCATACGAAATTTACTACATTTCTTTCTTAATATCATATAAATAAATATATTTCATATATATATCATATATATAAATAAAATATAATATTTTATTTATTTTACTTACTTCAATTATTTTACCCTCTTATATTAACTTTTGTTTTTGACATAATAAAAAATTAATGAAACCTTTGTCTATTTGAATAAGAAAGTAATTCGTGAGTCCATACATTATGAAAATAGCATAGCATAATAAAACTTTTAAGTTCAGTCCAAAATGGTACGTTTAAATATTAAGATTTCTTACAAATTATGTCTGGTACAATAGGTCTCTTCTGGCCGCAGTACCGGCTGTTGGGCAATTTTCACGTCTACTCTTTTAATAATAATAATACAAATTATGTAATGAACATTTAACATTTAATCAAATGATTTATCATGCCAAATGTTTGTGAATGGACCTATTGCTGCAAAATACAGGTTATCTTTAATGATTCAAATCTGTAGATATATTCAAGGCAACTATTTTGATTTCACCGTGTTACTCACAAAGCCCCTGCGTGTGTAAGATTAATACATACTACACTATTAAAAACAAAAACAAAAGTATATAATATATATATAATATAATATCAGTTAAGTGTCAAAATGAAATATATAATTTCAAATAAAGAATATTAATACATGTTTATTTATATTAAAATATTGTTACATATACTTTATATATATATATAAGTATATGCAACATATATATTGTTACATATACTTGATTGTATATGTAACAATTAATAACTAAATATGTTAAGGCAAAGTTTGCATTTAAATTTATGAGGTTTGGTACCTGTGTATGTTTGTTAGTAAATTAATATTTATTAATGTTTGCTAGTGAAACCTTGAAAAAATTTTAATTTTCCAAAAAAATGTGGCAATCTCGCTTACTTTGAATTACTATTAGTATTTATCTTTCGCTCTCCATTGCAAGTTCAACGGATCTGCGCAGAAGTACCGCGCGTTTTAATTTTATTAGTTTGTGTTGATTACTTGAAATCTGAATTTTGTGAAAGTTTTTTTGCATAATAACTTGTTTAAAATCGTAATATAAAGTGATTATTTCAATTGCAATAAAGTAAAAAGATCAAAGGTATGTTATAGGCAAATTGATTTACCGTTATGCAAACTATGTTGATTTTATTTTTAATTTTGCTTTGTTTTTTCTGCGAGTTATTCTTTATTTTTTCACGAATTGTGTATATTAGTAAAGATAAATTGTTAATATGAATTAAGAAAGATTTTTATAATGTATATTTAATAACTACAACAAATTATATGTAATGAAATTAGTTGTGTAGGCATTTTTTTTATATCTGCAGTTATGGCGCCAACTTTTCGTGCATTTGTGAAATTATCACTTAATTTTAAGAACTCTGTATACATGAATTTTTTTTTGTCAATAAAAAAAATTGGAATTACCAGGCGATTAGGGAAAAGACCCAAAAATACGTTAAATTGTTTTTGTTACCTGCCTTGTGTTATTAATTCAAAATTTTCCATCGTCCATTTTCTTAAGCCTAATTTAATGTTTGGCTTCGTTTGACAAAAAGTGTTGATGGAAATCAAAAAATTTTTCGACTGGATGTGTAATACGCGCTTTAATTCAGGTTTATATTACTTTTCTTTATTGATTTTAATTTATATACTTTTTACTATAATGTACTGTAAAAGTTGCTAAGCATCGAAATAAAAAGAACCAACAAATATATATAGTTATAAATTTAAAAATTGCTAATATAGTTTTATGTAGACTTCCAAAACATGATTTAATTAATATATTTATTTAATTAATATAAATAAGGTATAATAAAATTATATGTAGGGTACAAAAAAATACAGATGCGTGCAGGGGCTTTTTACTTTTAAAATAAGAAATTACCTTAAAAAGATATATTTTTTTATTTAAATGACTCTATTTAATGACTCTGTAAATGAATTCAACTACTTTTATTAATTATTTTTAAAAAATTTATTCATATATTAAATGAATTTATTAATTTATTATATAAGATTATTACTTTTTTAAATGTTTTCTTTATTCACTGAATCAATTTATTTATTTACTTAATGAATAAATTTTTTTATTACTAAATAAATTTATTTATTTGTATATAATATATATTTATTTGTTTTTTATTTGTATATAATAATATATAATATATGATTTATTTAATCATTCATTTAATAAATTATTTATTTATTTATTTAACAAATTTATCTTTATATATTATTTTATCAGTTTTATATAAATTTATTTACAAATTTACAGTGTGTGAATAGGTAAATTATTTTTGTTTTAGTCTACGCAAAAATCTTAATGATATGATACATATTTTTTCTTCGAAAGGTGGCATCATTATGTGCACTTATTTACTTTTTGTTTTATTTCACTCCGTCAGTGTCACTTTAAATTTCGTTGAGTGTGTATGTTGTTTTGTTGTTACGGCGTATTTTATGTAAAGTAAGGTTTCAAGAAATTACAGCTGGCGTATGTTGATTAAATACGTAGTTTTGTGATCAATAATATATGTGTGCGTGTTTTATCAATTATTATATGTTAAATGATTTATTTTACTGTTTTGAAATATAAGTCAATTTTATTTCATTCGTATAGTTAAAAATGTCTTATGATCCCTATCGCGAACATCGGCGTACATCCGGAGAAGATCCTTACGACGAAACTAATAGCCGTGGTCGTCGTTTACCTGGACGCTATTTAAACGAAGGGTCCGGTGTAGACCGGCGTCCAAGAGAGCCAGATTCACGTTACGATAGAGAAGTTGCCGGGAGGTATCGTCCGCGCGAACCTGATTCACATTATGTGGCAGAGCAGTCATATGATTTGTATGCAACTGGTGAATCGAGAGATGGTCGCGAAAGTCGACGACCACGTGAGCCCCATAATCCTTTCGATATAGATCGTCGACCACGAGAGCCCGAATCTCGTTATCAAGATAGTTCTGCTATTCGGCGTCCACGTGAACCTGATTCACGTCAGACTGATTATCGTTCTGAAAGCACATCTGGTAATAATCATCGCCCACGTGAACCCGATTATCGTTATGATGAGAGTTCGTCTGGTAGTAGCCGCCAGCCACACGAGCCTGACTCATCTTATGATGAACCGGTATGTATATATATTATTTATAAATTTATAAATTCCGTATAAAAATATTGTAAATATGATATTGTTTACTTATATATTATTTTTAATTATATTAAGAGCAAAGTCTGCTGCTTTCTATTGTTATTAGGAAAAAATAATACAATTTGTGTCAAGATGCCTATTTTTTCTATCATATTTCATTTCTGAACAGTTTTATTATGTGCGTATTTTCAAGTTTTTTGGGAGTTTAGTGTATTTAGTGAATAAATAATTCTTAACAATTGCTTGTAAAGTCTTAAAGAGGGGTTCTATAAACCCAATGTTAATTGCATTCTTTTTATATTTTCAACCGCGCATTATGTTGTTTACATTTTAATATTTATGGTGTCGAAATAATCCCAATTAATTAATTTTTTTATTCATATTTGTAAATACAATCAAAACGCATCAATATCTATATAAGGAAATTTGTTTTAAATATAGAAAAATCTGTTTCTATTCAAATATAGAAAGAATTTAATAATTTTTGAATTCTATTAATATGGTCTTCTCTTTTTTGTTACAATAGAACATAAAATTACATGCACCTTAGTGACATTAGGTCTGTTCCACGAGCTATTCGTAGTAAAACTCAAGTAAAACAGAAGTAAAGTACAAACTGAGAGCGTAATACAAAAAAGTGTCAAATTACGCTCTTTACACAGATTTTCATGGAACAGCTTTGTGTGAAATCAGCTACTCGTAAAAAAAACTCAAGTAAAACAGAAGTAAAGTACAAACTGAGAGTGTAATACAAAAAAGTGTCAAATTACGCTCTTTACACAGATTTTCATGGAACAGCTTTGTGTAAAATCTGGTGAGAACACCAGTGCCGCGCAAATAAACAATACAAAAATTTAAATTCAAACCCAAAATACCTGATTAACACATCACATAAATTTTACTTGAAATAAAATGAACAAGTAAAGTCTGTATAGAATTTTAAAATTTCGGCAGGGATGTTACGCTCTGTCTGATGCTCTCATTTACTCAAAAATTTGCTGGTGCAACGCACTTGTGTTTACATAGTGTTACTCAAAGTTACTACGAGTAGCTCGTGGAACAGACCTATTATATAAGTACATATCTGTATAATGTCCATACCCCAAATGTTATTATTGCGTCTATTACAGTTTTTGAAATAATCAAAAAATTAAAAAATTAACCATGTTAGCAGTACAGAGCGCCCCCAAATCGTTGGTCATCTGGTCTTTCCACCGAAGATGCGGATGTCTTTTATCACGTTCTTCAACTGTGGGTACCAAATCAAACACCTTTCTAGCCAGAGCACTTCTATTCGCATGACTCAATTAATCATCATTATCAAACATCATTATATCTTTCGCTGGTTTTTCTGCTATGATGTTTATTAAATTTATCATGATATATTAATCTTGTGGATATACGTAAAACAATATTTACAATATTTATAAGATTTATAAAATTTATAAGATTTATAACATTTATATTATTTACATACTTACAATATTTATAACATTTTACAGCGTTCTAAGAAATCAAAAGGGGATGGTTACTCTTCCGATTCGTTAAAGAAAGAACGTCGTTCTGCAGAGGATGATACTACAACCACAAGTCAAGGATCAGCAAAATATAAGCCAGTAAAACTGAATGGCGAAGGTAAACCTAAAGAAAATAGTGATGCCGGTGTAATCACAGAAAGTGGTGGTAAACCTAAAACGGAAAGAGAAGAGAGAGGAACTCGACGTAGTCGTTTACGTTTTGATGCTGTTAATACTCGTCCTGTAGAATTAGATTCGAAACTTGGCTCTTCAGGGAGAACAGTCAAACTACAAACAAATTATTTTGTTTGTAAAACAAAAGCTGATTGGTGTATTTATCAACATATTGTATCTATAGATCCAGAAATTGAAGTTCGTCGTATACGTAGTGGTATTTTATCAATAATTTCTAGTATACTTGGTGGATATTTGTACGATGGCCGTGATTTGTTTTCCAATAAGAAAATAACTGAAAACGAGTCGAAATATGAAGTGGATGCGAAAGATGGACGAAAGTATACTATAACTATTCGATATGTTGGTGTGTTACAGATGACGGAATATCAAGCCCTACATATTTTAAATTTAATATTGCGCCGAGCAATGGGAACACTTAATTTACAATTAGTTGGACGAAATTTTTATGATGCTCTTGCAAAGGTAAGTTTAAACTGATCTATTTATTATACATGTTAGAGATAGAAAAATTAATTTTTTTAAAATGTGTATTTTTAGATTAACATCAAGGAATTTAATCTCCAATTATGGCCTGGTTACGAGACATCTATCCGTCAACACGAACGTGGTATTCTTTTACGCGCTGAAATTGCTCACAAAGCCATGCGTACAGAAACTTTGTATGATATTTTGCGTAGATGTATGTCAAACCATAGAAATTTTCAAGAAGAGTTTCGTCGTCAGGCCATTGGTACAACAGTTTTGACTGATTATAACAATCTGACCTACACTATTACTGACATCGATTTTAATTTAAATCCTAAATGCACATTTTTGTATAAAAATGCAGATATATCATATATGGAGTATTACTCTAGGGTAAAGTACATTTTAGTTTATTTTTATAAATGGCTTATTTAATTAAAATTTTAATTTTACCACCATCAGAAATACAACATTCATATACGCGATGAACGCCAACCATTATTACTCACAAAGGGCAAAAAGAGTTTAAATAAAACTGATGAACTTATAATACTTATACCAGAATTGTGTCGTTCAACTGGACTCAATGACGAAATGCGTTCAAATTTCAAGTAAGCATAAGAACTTCTATATATTAAGCAATTTTAATGGATTTCTGTTGTAAAAGTATTCATAATCACATTTAATCGCATTTAATTTTTCATGAAATCAAAAAATATTAAGTTTATATATTACTTATTCACATAATTACATGAATTTCTCATTATATATATATATATATATATATATATATGTCGCTTAAAGAACTTTAACTAGTTCTATATATTGAAACATGTTTTTTTTTTTAATTCTAATCATGTTTCGCCAATTCTTAAGACTTAGACCGGCTAACACTAGTTGAAAATGTTGTAATACCAATACATGTTCAAATTCTACTTCACACAATTTTAGATCACATCACAATATTTAGATCATATAAATCAGTTTGCTATAAGAATAACCAATATATTTATCTTTATCTGCTTGTCTGGCACACTAGATTAACTGTTTGGATTGAGACTTATTTTGCGCATTTTACTCGTATTTCGTTAACCCAATGTATGTACCAATTCCTTCTTGATTGTTTTCTTTACATGCGGTCAAACTCTGTTGGTTTATACGAATTTTCAAACCGTTTAATTCAAGTAATGTGGCCTTAAGTAGAATTTAATCCGTAATGATTAATCCACAAAAAGGTATTCCGTGTTTTATGGGGTATAGATATTTCTATTATACTTATTAACTTATTTTTGATACTCTTTGATAATGTTTACATATTTTAATTAATTTTAAACAATGTATGACGTAGTTTGTTACACCTTATAATTTTTATATCTATCGTTTCTTCATGACGAAAATCCTCCAGCTTCGATTTAATATTGTAATTGGATAAAGCGAGAATGCTATCTTGGTATTTTCTGACAAAATTACAACTCATTAATTTTGAAGGCTGTCTCTGAAATCAGGCTTCTTCATATTGTATTTTTCGTTTGTTTATTGATTTGAATGATAGGCTCGTCATGGGCAAAATTTTTGTTGTTTTTAATGCAAATTATAAAGAGATAAAAGTGAAAGAGAGACAAAGAAAAAACAATATATGGATTCAAATTTGGTCATGAGACATAGATATCTGTGCCTCGTCACTTGGGCAAAGCAGTGTTATTCTGTAATAAATGTCAGAATTTGCGTCTTTTAGAAGCAAATGACTACAATTTTAATACGTTTTGAAAAAGAAATTCCAGGATGCAATACAGTCCTTACTTTCTTTTTTTGTTCAATCGGTATTTCTATACTATTATTTGATTATATTATTACTTATTTATTATTTAACATGCATTCTACATTACATGGCCCTTACTTTCTTTTTTTGTTCAATCGATATTCCTATATTATTATTTGAGTAAAATATTTAGTTTTTTATTAATTCTAAATTTCAATAATTAATTAATTAAGAGAATGTAACCTATCATGTCTTGGTGTTATTAAACGATTTCATCATTATCAATAACTTATTAAAGTACACGCTGTTTCCGTTCAGGCACATTTCAGATCTTAATAAAAATATGTTAAAATGATGTCACTTTCGGTGTTATTAAGATTCCTTTATATCTTTATAGAAGATATAGAGGAACAGTAGTGATTTATTTATTTAGACCTTAGACATTTTTTAAATGCTTACAAATTTCTTATGAGTAAATAATACTAAATCATAAATTTAATTTATTTATTATTTTTATTCAGTCTTATGCGTTCACTTGCCGAATATACTCGTATGAATCCAGATCGGCGTATCGATCGGTTAATGGCATTTAATCGCCGGTTACAATCATCAGAAAATTGCACTAAAATATTTAATGAATGGAATTTAACACTGGAAAAATCCCTGGTTGAAGTTACAGGGCGTGTCTTGGAACCTCAAAAAATCGTTTTTAATAATCAAAAGTAAATATTATTAAAGAAAATTATAAAACAAAAAGATATTAATTTTTTTTATATTATTGCGAACGAACAGAGTTCCTGCAGGTGATGATGCCGATTGGACTCGTCATTTTCGTGGCAGTCATATGTTAACTTCACCATCACGTGGACTTGAGCGTTGGGTTTTCGTTTATATAGGTCGTCAAACACGTGATATGCGTAACTTTACTGAAGCTCTTTTACGTGCTGCAAATGGTTTGAAATTTCAAATTTCTCGTCCCAGAGAGTAAGTAGAATTGTACAGTACAATTATTATTAGTATTGATTATAATTAAAAAATGTAAAATATATAAAAAAAAACAAATATATAAATATAAAACATATGGTATATTATAGAATGACGATTAATGACGATCGTACATATTCCTACATTAGCGCTTTAGAGGAAGCAGCTCGTGGTGATCCACAGTTAATCATGTGCTTGGTGCCAAATAATAATGCTGAAAGGTAGGTGGTCACTTATATTTTTTTTTTTGTGAATATTTTTAATAATTTTATGGTTATATTAATTTGTGAATTGTGTGAGAAAAGTGTGTATTTAAACTTTGAAGATGTTTTTAAATTTTATAGTTAGCTTTTGACAGTTATATAGAAGTTGTCTGTGCTCCTTTTATCAAATCGTGGAGATTACATTTGACTATGGTTTCAAATAAATTTTAAACATAAAGTATTTTTGTTGGTGTAAAGCATAATTAAGAAGAATTTTAATAGTAAAATATGTAAGAGCAATTATTGTTTTCAAAAGAGTTAAAAATTCATATACAAACTTCCATATATTGAACTTCTATAACTCGAATTTTTTTTAACTCGAACCAAAAACAGTGCACCTAGGTTTTAGAGAGCAAATTATATACAATTCTGCTTCCATAACTCGATTCACTATAACTCAAATAAAAATATTGTTCCGTGCCGAAGGAATATGGGAAAGTGCATTTTATAAGTCGAATTTTTATTTTAAGTATAAATTTAATTTGCTGTTAGGGGAAGCCCCGTTTTCCAAACCAAATGTTTAATTGTTTCTTTCTTATGTTGATTCTTTGTGCTAATGCCATTGCTGGCATCGTGGTTTAAAGTAAATAAAATAACTTCCAATGCTACTCTTAACGATTATATTGAGCTTGACAATGAAATTTGTACATCAAGCTTTTCTAAAGATGACGATACTATTGAGCATTATAGCTCTGAATTAGTGGATCCGATTCTAAGCGGAACGGAAAATAATGATGAGGGTTTGGTGGATGTAAGTGTTCATCAGCCTTTCAAGAATGAAATAGAAGATTTATTCAAAACTCTAAATTTATATTTGCAAACAAATGATGATACTCTTTTTACTGAAAATAAGAAAAAAATTAAAATCCCAAACCCTAATTGCTGAGTATTTTACTTCACTATAACTTATACTTTATTTGAATACAAATAAATAAATATCTTAAAGTGTAATTCTAGTTTCTTTCAAAAATAAAAAAAAAAATTCTTTAACTCGAAGTCTCCATTAGTCGAACCTTTGCAAAATTGGACTTAGAATTATGGAATTTTGAGGGCAATTCGTAATAAATTTTAATGCATAATTTTATTACATTTACTAATAATGCGTAATTTTACTTAGAGATAAAGATGCTGCATACATAACTATTAAGTAACTAACATACTTACAAACATAAGTCGTTATTGGTAGCGTTTAGTAGTCTCTTAACCCAACTCCCAACCCGACTGACTCCAGTTGGTAATACCAAGTGCCTTCATACTGTTGAAAATCTAGTTATTCCACTGAAGATGTGAACCTATCCCGATTTCCACCAGCCGGTACTGAATCAAACACCATTTTAGTCTGAACATTTTCTTCCATTTGCAGGATATGACTAAGCCCGCGAAGACGCTGAAGGTTTATGTGCTTGACTATGTCAATGCCACTATCAGGTTAGCTTATAGATAATGTCTTTTGGCAGTATCTAAGAAATGTTTGTTTAGACCCTTGTAGTATCTGCTTACTTAACTAAAGTTTCGGTCGCTGTGAACAGTTCATTTGCATACAACTTGGATTATTTCAGGCGGTAGATAATTTCAAGCGGAGAAATAATGCCAGAATTTGAAGGAATTTGTTTTCAACCTTTTATTAGCACTTAGATTTCGAAATTCATTAATACTTACACAAGTTCATAAATGTATTTGTAATTTATTTGTTTTATTATTACAAAAGTCGTCTGTATTACAACAATTCACTCAACTACTTGAACTATATTTTATCTATGGAAATATATCACATGTAGAAATGCTTGTTATTGCGTTTAAATATGGCTTAATAACGTTTAGAATCATCAACGTTGATCAATGTTGATATTGATGGATTATAAGCAAACATGAAATTCACTTTGCTAATAGTTGTTTTCTTATAATCAAACATTCACATAAAATAACACATTCGTTTTTTGTGCTGTGTACTAATGTATAATATTTTTATAAATAAAGAAAAAAATTAAATATGTTTCTATGTTTGCAGATACATCACATTGAAGAAAAAATGTTGTCTGGACCGTGCTATACCAATGCAGATAATAACACAAAAAACAGCGAGTAATCAACGTGGACTTATGAGCGTTGCTACTAAAGTAGCAATACAAATTAATGCTAAGCTTGGATATACACCGTGGATGGTTGAAATACCTCTTAATGGTTTGATGATCGTAGGTTTTGATACAGTAAAAAGTACACGCGATCGTTCAAAACAATTTGGTGCACTAGTTGCCACAATGGATATGAAAACAAATGCAACATTTTATAGTACAGTAGCTGAAATGAGTGTTCATGATAATTCGGCTCCCATTTTATGGGCTATGATGGTTAAAGCGTTACACCAATATCGCCTAGAACATAAAGCACTACCAAAACGTATTATATTTTATCGAGATGGTGTTAGTGACGGTCAGCTGCAACACGTCGTTGATTTTGAAGTCAAAGAACTAGTTGCTAGACTTAATGAACAATACACAGCTGTTGGCTGTGAAAAGGGTTTAATGTTTTCATTTATTGTTGTTACGAAAGCTTCCAGCACACGATTCTTTGCTAACGGTAAAAATCCACCTCCTGGTACAGTTGTTGACGATGTTATTACAATTCCAGAACGGTATGACTTTTATATAGTATCGCAATGTGTACGTCAGGGCACCGTTTCACCTACCGCTTATAACGTTATTTTTAGCAATATACGCCTATCACCAGATCAAATACAATTACTGACATATAAAGTATGTCATTTATATTACAATTGGTCAGGTACAACTCGAGTTCCAGCCGTATGTCAATACGCCAAAAAGTTAGCAACGCTTGTTTCGCATTGTTTACTAAATGCACCTCAATGTGTACTTGAGAAACGTCTATACTATTTGTAAACATCAAAGGTTTTTTAAAAAGTTTAAGCTGTTTTTTTATTTTTATAATTATTTCAAATATTCCAACGAAATATGATAAAGACGACATACATTGACAATGCCAATTACGTAGTAAACGTTTTTATCGCAGCTATACAAGCATTTAATGCTTAAGTTAGTTTATATATATATTCAAATAAGTGAAGATCAAAGTGCTACCTAACATTACCCAAAAATGACAAAAAAAATTTCTTCAAACAAGCATTGGCATTTTGAATTTTATAAAGAGACATGATTTTTAAAAATTAGAAATGTATATGTAAAAAAATTTTTCTTGACCTTAAGAAGACCAGAACATTATCACTTTTTATAGCTGTTATTTCCTATTTTTAATTTTAATTATTAAATACAATTAAAGTTGATATATGTATATATTGTATATATAAACCAACAAGTACATATGTATATATATAAATTAACAGGTACATATATGTACATATATGTATATAAATTAACAAGTACATATGTATATATATATATATAAATTAACAAGTACATATATATATATATTAACAAGTACACATATATATATATTAACAAGTACATATATATATATTAACAAGTACATATATATATAAATTAACAAGTAAATATATATATATATAAATTAACAAGTAAATATATATATATATAAATTAACAAGTAATAATATTATATAAATTAACAAGTAATATATATAATATATAAATTACAAGTAAATATATATATATATAAATTAACAAGTAAATATATATATATATAAATTAACAAGTAAATATATATATATATAAATTAACAAGTACATATATATATATATAAATTAACAAGTATGTAAATTAATTATCCGTATTCTGGATGAAATGGGAGTTCTTTTCCTAAAAGAACTCGTACTAAATTTTTTTTTAAATTTTAACTTATATGTAGGAGATAAGTTAATTTAAGTTAATTAAGTAAATTTAATTTAATATGTAAATAACAAATAATTATCAGTTTTTCGAATATATTTTAATAAAATTATTATAATAAATTTAATACATTTAAATTTTTGTTTGTTTATTTTATCCACACGGATTTTTTCACATAATTAAAGTGTTAACTATTGTTATTTTAAACAAAAGAATAATGAAAGGAATCCAAATTCTACAATGAATGAGATTTCTTGAATAAGTTAAAATAATCTTTAGTAATTGTGCGTAGGTATTCAAACAATCTTTTTTCTTGTAACATCTATTATTAAACTATTATTACAGTTTATTAATTAAAGACTTTTCTATCCTAATTATAAAATTAAATTATAATTTAAGCAAATTTTGTATAAAAGTAGTGAATGTGAATGCTTGAGAATAAAGACATTTAAATTTAAAAATCAGAAAGGGAACAGAAGGAGGAACAGGTCCCAATATAGAACATAAATTTACGCTGTTGAAGAATCAATTTTAAAAGACGCTTTTGAAAGCTTGCCTGTGAAAAAAAAAATTTGATTGAATTTAACACAACATTTTATTATTCTTGTATCGCAATGTTCTACAGCACAGGCAACTGAAACAAAAGGAGAGCAGTTTGAGAAAAATTCCTTCGTCTGAAGTTTTGGCCAAAGAAACAATCTATCCACTTGCATTCACCAAAGGATCAGCAAGCAATAGAGATATTGCTACAAATGCTTTAAAAGAGAAACTTGGTTTATAAAAAACAATATACCACACCACTAAAATGGAAATGAAAAACGTCAAAAAAAAACTAACAACACTAAAAAATAAACCGTTCTATTAGAAAGCTGCAGAACCGTCAAAGCAAGCACTTCTAGAAAATGGAAAAACTGAAACAGCAAGAATTGGAGGAACAAAAGCGCCGTAACTTATATATGGAGAAATTAAAGTTACAGATAATTGAGAACCAAACTGAAAAAAAATTGTCGGCTTTTGGAATAGAGGAGCTCTCACACTTTACGGTTAAAACATTAATAATTTCAATATTGTTACATTGATAAATAAAATATAATATTAGTTTGTTTTATCGTTTTTAAGAATAAAATAAATTGTGTACATATTTTAAAAATAAAATAGATAATTAAAATAAATTAAATAAAAGTTTAAAGTGATCTCGCAAATCGCTTGTATTCCAAATTAATGCGTCATGGTAGGCACCGGAATGGAAATGGGAATATCACAAAGATGCAAAAATTTGGTTTTTATTTAAGTCAAAAACTGGGTTATATTAACTTACAAGAATGACGTCCAAACTATAATATCCTTTTCTATTATAGTAAAGATGCATATTTTCCTTAGAAGCAATAATTCGAACAAGCGTTCCATCTATGCATTCTACAACACCGGGAATATTAAGCTTAACATAAAATGTTAAAGCTATTTTCCTTTTTTCCTCTGATGTCTTTAAAACTTATATCCATTTTGGATATAAGCGTGTATGTCTAGCACTTCGGAAAGTTAGAATGAGGCTAGAGCGTCATCGTGGTCTTTCCCAACCTCTGTCTGATAACCTCCTTCAGCAAAGAAACTAAAACATCCCCCCAATTTCTTAGTTGGAAATTGCTAATTTATATATCCTATAATATTTTTAAAAGCTCTAATAAAAAAAACGTTTATATTAAGATCAAATTAGATAGCATTTGCACTTACAATAAATCAGGCAACTCAAGTGGATTTCCAACGTCTCGCAAATTTCTTCGATTGATTCTTTATTGGAGCATTTTTGTCCCTGTTTTTGAGCCAAATCCTTCACTAAAATTCGAAATGAAATTAAATGCATTTTTGAATTTTAATCAACATTAGTTCTTGAGCAAATCTTTTCATTTGTTTGTTTTGCTTCTTATTTTCGCACTTTTCGTCATTAAAAAATGCAAATCTTACCAAAGTTCAACAAAAAAAACTTAAATTATTTGTTGTTCCCACTACAACTGTCTCCCAAACAATTCTAGAGATAAACACATTTTGAGAGAAATTTATTCCCTGGGAATATTCAGAATAGCAGTGATTTTATACACCTCAAAATAAAGATAAATAATTATTGTTAATCTTATAGTACATTCACACGTTTAAAATGTTTAAACATTTTGATCACCGTACTGCGCTTTATCATTTATCTACACTTTGTCAAGGTTTTAAAATACAGTTACTAATCCAAAATTTTAAAATACATATTTGCTTTAAAAAACAAAAATCTAACCGAAGACCTGCCAGTATATACGTCCAGTTAGTGAATTTAATTTAACTCAATATCAAAATAATTTTAAAAATATCTGGGTTCCGTGTTTGCAACCTTTTAAGGACATTACTTAAAACTAACTTAAGTCAGTATTAAGACATAAATTACGACCGTGAAATCGCCTCCCAATTTCTTACAATCATAAAAAATATCAGACCTGCTCACACCTGGATAAGGCAAATTGACATGGAAATGTGACACTTGCGGAAAAGCTGGAGCTACTGGCCAGTAGAAAAGTAGAAGCTACTGGCCACCAAACGTACCGAATGGAAGATATTTTTGCTGCCCTATGCTCCTCCTAGGAGTTAAAGGTTTAATATATAAAAAAACATCGCAATTTAAAAATGCGAGAATATACAAAATCGCAATATTTAAAATATTTTTTAAGTTAGTCTGCCCCCTGTTTTACAGCTGTCATTCTGATGTTTCATTTCCATTTGTTCCGCTAAACGTAGATTTCGTGAAAGCTATTGGAATGGAACCTGAAATCATTGCTAAATTTTTTTTATTAAGGGAATCTTATTCTTTGTGTAAAATAAATAAATTTTCATTTTAGAATACGATAACTTAATACAATTAAATTATTTCGTCATCAAAACGAGCAGAAAGTGTGAGAGTGGTTGTAAGAAGGCTGCAGTTGTAAGAATAAAACAGTTTAAGGTCACTTGCGTAAAATGATGTTATTGTTTTGCCAATTCCAATAAAAATATTACGCACCTTTTCGTCAAGGATTCCTCAGTATTTTATATATTAACTATAACATATCCAAAATACTCAAGTGCAAGAAAATTGCTGCACTGAACATTAGTTCATTGGCAGCATTTTTTTTTACAACAATTATCAACTTTCCTTCCTTATACTTGCCCATCTAATATATTATAGACGTTAGCAATGAGTAGCAGTGCTGATGGATCCTCAATTCGTTTTAGTGATCATACTCTTGATAAAGCTACAAAAGCCAAAGTGACTTTAGAAAACTATTATAGTAATTTGGTAACACAATATGGAGAACGTAAACAACGTCTTGCCAAACTTGAGGCACAACTCAAGGATGAGAGCTTGACAGAATCGCAGCGTCAGGAAAAACGTTTGCAGCATGCTCAAAAAGAAACAGAATTTTTACGTTTAAAGAGATTGCGGCTAGGTGTTGAAGATTTTGAAGCCTTAAAGGTTATTGGTCGAGGAGCATTTGGTGAAGTACGTCTAGTACAGAAAAAAGACACTGGACATGTTTACGCAATGAAAGTGCTTCACAAAAGTGACATGATTGAGAAAGAACAAGTGGCGCACGTACGAGCTGAACGTGATGTGTTAGTAGAAGCGGATCATCAATGGGTAGTTAAAATGTACTACAGCTTTCAGGTTAGTAGAGTTTATGTGTGATTTCTTTTTATTTTAACTTGATATTTATGTTATGTTAGAGACTCATTTGTAGGACTTCATAGGACTTTCTATGGTTAAATTTCAGTTTATCCAATTACCTCTTAAAACATTTTTAACCATTTTTTTTTCATATAAACCTACACTTTAATATAAAATCATTTTACTAGTTTATCAAATAAATTTAAAGTTGTAAAAAGTTAATTCTATTTATTAAATAATAACATATTACATGTTAAGCAAAACTATTATTATCAATGATAATTATTTATAGGAAAAGGTATTTAAAAAACACAAAATGGAATAAATAACGACTTCAAATATTTTTATTATTTTAATAAATTGTATTTATAAAGTTAAGAAGAAAAAATAATATTAGTAATCTATATAACTAATTTTCACAAAAGTAAGAATAAAAGTGGCAAGCAAAGCAGTATTATAGCAATAATCTAGGCCTTAAATTTATATTTAACAGAAAATAATCAATTTTAACACAAATTCAGAAATGCTTTCCATTAGAAATGCATATAATTATGACGCTTGTTATTATAATTTTATTTAAATCTAATTAAAAACATTCAACACCCGAATGCCTTTATATAACTTTTCTGACATATGCGATTGTTGATTTCCATTTTCCCAAACAATACTCTTTATATACTTGAATTTAGTGGTTTTGGATGATTCATATCTTTTACTCCTTATAGATTTCGTCCAAAGCATTACATTTTTTCTTTTTCTTTTTTGTAATAGTAAAAACAATATTACTATAAACATTTTTCTTATTTTTATATTCCTTTCTGAGAACTTAAGGTTCTCTACAAAAGATGTATTTATTAGTCGTAATTCGTTTAACAGTTTTCCAGTTTCGGTAAGGACTGTTCTTACTTTGTAGCTTGCGAGTTCCAAGTCACCGCTGAATGGGGAATATCAATCATCATACATAGAATATGATCCAACTACAGTTTCGTTTTCTTTAAGCTTTAGTATTAATGTTCTAATGATTGATAACGTCCAATAGTACTTCATACGAAAATAGCCTAGCTTATTACATTTGGATATTTTTTCTTTATTTCGTATCAATTCTTAAATATAATATGTATATAAGATAATATGTTGTATACTTGTACCACACATGGGCAGTTATTAACTCAGTCATTTTGAATAAGTCTTTACTTAACAATGTTTTTAAGAACTATGATCTATTTAAATAAGTTTTATGGAGTTTCGTTCTTTTGTATTTTATCATATTATAGATATTAAGGTAATAAATCTCTAAACATTGAATAAAATAACAACGAAAATTTATTACAGGACTCAGTAAACCTGTATTTGATAATGGAATTCCTGCCGGGTGGTGATATGATGACACTATTGATGAAGAAAGATACACTTTCAGAAGAATGCACTCAGTTTTATATCAGCGAGACAGCATTAGCGATCGATTCAATACATAAACTTGGCTTTATCCACCGAGATATCAAACCAGATAATTTACTACTGGATGCACGCGGTCATTTAAAGGTATATATAATATATTTTGAAATGTGAACTTCTATTAAGAAAATCTTTATGACCGCTTAAGTTGTGAGGAAAGGGTATACAATTTTGATTAAAATTTTAGTCTTCTAATTTAACAGTGTAGTACGCTATGATTTTGTATTTACCTACTTGTAATATATTCAATTAACATTAAACATTATAATTTTATTTTTATTTAATAATTTTTTTTTCATATTTTTGTTTATAAATTTTGAAGAAAAATCTTTTATAATTGTTAATAAATAAAAAAAATTAAATTTTCTCGCATATTTGATATAATTTTCTTTCTAGCTATCTGATTTCGGTCTTTGTACTGGTTTAAAAAAATCACATAGAACCGATTTTTATCGTGATCTTTCTCAAGCGAAACCATCCGACTTTATTGGTACATGTGCCAGGTAACAATAATACTATAATACTCATGTTGAATTTTTAAACTTACTAACTATTTATATTGTTAGCCCAATGGATTCGAAACGAAGAGCCGAATCATGGAAACGAAATCGTCGAGCATTAGCTTATAGTACAGTAGGCACACCAGATTATATAGCGCCAGAAGTATTCTTACAAACAGGTTATGGTCCCGCATGCGATTGGTGGTCTCTAGGTGTTATAATGTATGAAATGTTAATGGGTTACCCACCATTTTGTTCAGACAATCCTCAGGATACGTATCGTAAAGTAATGAACTGGCGTGAAACACTTATTTTTCCGCCCGAAATACCAATATCTGAAGAAGCAAAAGAAACAATTATCAAATTTTGCTGTGAAGCTGACCGTCGATTAGGTTCTCAGCGTGGTCTTGAAGACTTAAAATCGGTGCCCTTCTTTCGAGGAGTTGATTGGGAGCATATACGTGAACGTCCTGCCGCCATACCTGTCGATGTGCGCTCCATCGATGATACATCTAATTTCGATGAATTTCCAGATGTATCACTTGAAATTCGTAAGTTTTTATATAATTATTATATCAATTTTGTATATATCTTAAGAAATAATGTCGTTTTGTTATTTTAGCTTCGGCACCAATACCTCAAGGTAGCGAAATTGCTAAGGATTGGGTTTTTATAAACTACACATTTAAACGTTTCGAAGTGCGAAACTTGGAATAAAGAATGTGCCTCAACAATGAGGAGATATCTGTATTAAATCGATATAATTTTCGAGTTCAGTAATATTTTTAGTTAAACTAAACAGAATCATAATTGCAACGCCACCAATTAATTAACCACGTACCAGAATCCAACCTATCAGCATAATATATTTTGTTGCATTTGCGCCACTACATTTTATAAGTATGCAGAAACCGTAACTCTGCGATATTTTAAAATTTGCCTACATAAAATTTTTTAAATGTGTTTTTAAAACAAACTTAAATTATTTATATTATTTTTAGAAATCTCGATTATTATATTTATATAATTCATTGAATTTATGCTATATATTTCCTCAAAGTGACTAAATCAATTTGTATTTTGTAATAATTTTTATTTTTTCTTGTTTTTTATGTTTCATCTAAATGATCATAAAACACTTTTATATATATTTTTTTTTCTATTTTAGTAATGTAGAAGTAATTTATTTTTTTTTAATGCACAATATACCTAATTCAAATTAAAAAAAAAAGTGAATTGAAAATGTTTATATTATTTATTTTGCGTAGCTTGATTATGACAAATACTAATGCTAGTACATATATAAATATATAAGCATTCATACTCGATGTATGCTAACAATAAATAAATTATCTTAGATGTTTACGTGTATACACTAATACACTTACAAATAAAGTTTTAAAATATTTTTGGTAATCGATAGGAGTACTAATAAGTCAAATAAATAAAAACGCAATAAACGAATGTGCATATTGAAAATAATATAACAAAATTGTTTTACTATTGTGTTGAGAATTTGTTGTGTGGGAATTTATTTTAAAATTAATGTTTTATACTTTTTAATTATTAAGTTTATTTATGTAAATGTGTATATTTTTAATATTATTTGTTTAATATTTTTTATAGGTATTATTTGTTTAATATTTTTTGTTTATATTTTTTATATTATTTTTTTAATATTTCTTATATTATTTTTTTTATGTTATTTATTTTTTATATATTATTTATTTTTCTATATTATTTATTTTTTATATATTATTTATATTTTATATGATTTATTTTTTTAATTCATTTAATTGATTGCTTCCTATGGTTTGTGGATGACCAAATAAATATCGAGTGAAAAATTTGAATATTAAAAACATTTTAATTGTTTATTCAATCTTCATTATTTAATTTTGAAGACTTAGTTTGATTGATTATATTCTCAGCTCATAGTTGAGTATACAATTATCACGTCACACGGTCCTTTATGTAATAACTATAAAGAACTAAGCAACAGACGTGTATATATAAGTACCTAAAAACTTATTCCACTTCGACCATTTTCTTACCAATTACTTATCTTAATTGTATCTTATCTAAATATTAAATTATCTGTCAAATTTTATGCTAGAAGCTTTGGTATAAACACATTACCACATAAATAATTTATTTTAAGAATCCTCACTAATAACAGCAAATCGCTAATTTGAGTTAATACTTAATATTAAAATTATCAAGTAAGTAATAATTATTTGCTGGTCCTTAATATCCAGATTAAAGCACGAAAGTTAAGAACTTCGTATTTTGTGTTGATTTTTGTCGGGTTTTCTGTATATAAGAACTAAGGTTTACCATATACCATGTTAGTAAAAAGTTGATGTATTAAGGAACCATAACAATTTATGTATGTAGGTACAGAAATGGCAATAAATATTTATTCATAAATATAGTCTTTTTCAAATATTTCCAAATTATTATGTTACACAAAAACTAGAAAAAAACAAGGTAATAATATTTAAATTATATTAACATTATTAATGAATTTACTTTTATCTGATTATACTACTATGTATATATTTTTATTTTTTTAAATATAGTTCCATAAAGCTTTTCCTATATACGATTGCCGTTCGGCTTGCCAAATATAAATACAAATAATAAATTGAAAAGTAACTTCTATATCCATGATTAATGACCGAGTTCACTTGACTTCCTCACTTGAATATACTAAATTAATATAATAATCCCCTCTTTCTTCGCTTCTACAAATAATTAATGCTTAGGCTTATGTATCGATTTTAGGCCCATGGAGATGTATGTAAATCAATTTTTGATAGTCAAATTTTATTATGTTGCAATCGTTCTACAACCAGTGAAATATCGCTCTGAAGTCCCTTAAAAAAAGCAGAACTAACACATATGAACAGATTATTATAACAGATTATTAGCCGTATTTAAATCTTAAATTTTAAAATCGATTCAATTATTTGACTTTATATTAACCAAAAAATAAAATAAATTTTATATTATCATGTTATTTTTTTATTTTGGAACGAACCTTTGCTATACCTAGTATATCCTAGCAAATTTGAGATGGCCAAGGAAAAATATCGCAGTAGATGAAATATATTTCAATAACCCGGTCGAGAACAAAGTTATTAATACTATTGAACGATTTAAATTAATATTAATTACTTCTGGTAAAAAGAATTTAAAAATATTTACACTTCTCTACTTCTGTTCTAAATAAATTTTTCTATGTAGCATATATACAAATTATTAACCGAAAAATGACTTTATTTTCAAATCAAGGTGAAATTTTCATATCAATTAATAACATCATTATTAAAATTGAAGCTACACATTCTTCTAAAATCGAAGTTCATAAAATTTCAATTATAAAAAATTTTATATGTACTAAATATATATATGTTGCCGGGTTCATCAACTCTTAATCTAATCTAAATCCTAAAATACTAACAAAGTATGTTAAAAACAAATACGTAATACTATATTATAATATTCCATATTACCTTCTGGTATTCAAACATATATCTAAGTGTCAAACTATATAACCTCAAATGTAGCGTTAAAATAGTACACCCCTCTCGCTTCTATTATAACACTGGATTTATATAGCGATTGCTAGAACAATCCTCTTCCATATGATTATGGTCTGCTGGTTGTTTTCTTAATTTCTTAAGAATCCAAATTACTTACATTTTTAATTAAAATTTAAGTTCTATGTTAATCTTAGAACTTAATCTTTTAAGTTAATCTTATAACACCAAAAACATTTATATTCCTGTATAGTTATTACATCTTTTGGAATAATATAGTTTAATCTTAAATAAAAATAATAGGAAAGTTTTCTTTTATATATTGAAAATTATTATCAAATATTGACATAATAAAAATATTACGACATATGGAATTCTCGCCTGACTCTTCAGTGTTGTTTTATAGAATAGAATAGAAATAAACAGGGTACCGGTTCCTAACGGAGCGGAAAACCGCGACTATAGTTGATCTTTTGTGCTGTTACAGACCGTAACAGAAGATATTCCGCTTTTAGAAAAAAGCCAAAATGTTTCAAAATAATTATACAATAAATTTACATAATATTAATTTCAGTCCAGTTTACATCTAGGACAGTCTTTGACTGCTACACATTTTTAAATAAGATGTCGACGCAGTTCAATATTTGGGTTTCCGGTTATATGGATATTTTCGGAAATTGCAAAGCAAATGAGCTAGACAGATGGGGTGCTTCCGGAAACCACTCGGAACACATTAACAATCTAGGTATATCGTTGACATCATAAAAGCACTAAGTTCTTCCTGTATCGAACTTTTTAATAAACGAGAAGAAATAGGTGGAAAGACTCAACAATGTGCAAGCATCTGTATGCAATTTGACCATGCTCCAATGAAAGGAAATCAAATTCTCTAATTAAGATGCCCCGTAGAAATATCAGTCTTGTAGTAGATTTACTTACAGGTCATTGTATTTTAGGTGACTATGCTGGAAGACTAAATCTCCCTTTAACCATACTTGCCGTAGTTGTGGTGTGGACGATAAAAGTGCCTCTCATTTGCTTTGTTTCTGTCCAGCATATGCACGACGCCTCCTTACCATTTTAGGGGTTTTCTTTTTTGAGGATTTTGATGAACTGCAAGATCTCCCTTGAATAGCATTATGAGTTTTGCGAAAGGTTCTAAGTGGTTCTAACCCCTGAATTTTTAATTATACAGTAACATAATGCGAATATAGGCCTAAGGGGATCCCTTGGGATCGCCGGTATAACCTAACCTAATCTACTTAAAATATTTACTTCGTGATAATGACAAATATTACTCTTACTTTTTTCTTTATTACTGCTAGATTGGTAGAATTTCTGATGTCCTTCTGTCAGTTGCACTAAGATACCTCGCTTATGCAACAGGTATCTGTTCCGGTGAACTACTTATTTAGTCATAAGTCATGCAAATACCTGACCCTGTGTCTTGACTAGATGATAGTGGTAATTTTTACTTCTTTAAAAATGATAATGGTAATCTTAAATAAAATCCAATTTTTTATAGCAGTAATTGTTCTATAAGTACGTAGGCTAGAGAGCAGAAAAACAAAAATTTGTTATTTCCTCCATTATGTTAAAATTTTAGTGATGATGAGGGTCTCAAATATTCACTTATACAATATGAACTCAAAAATGATTTGTGCGAATAAGATATTAGTATTATTATAATGAATAGAGTTTTATTTTAGATAGATATTAGAATTCTAGGACCCGCTGCACTTACTAAACTTTGGTTATATTTACTTGTTATTTTTGAAACATAACTAGCCTACAAATTTAAGCAAGAGAATATAAAATAATTAGAATAGCTTTTAAGATGGTGAAATATGGTAATAAGATTTGATCGTATCTATAACCTGTATCATGGGTTCAGTGCATTACCACTAAAATGACACGGGGTAACACATTAATTGGGTTCATATTTATATGTTGCATGGGAGAATTATACATACAGTCAAACTTCCATAACTTGAAGTATCATTTTGGTTCGACTTATGAAGACTTCAAGTTAGAGAATATTTTTATTTCTGAAAGAAACTAAAATTTTAAGATATTTATTTATTTATTTGAACTCAAATATAGCACAGAAGTTATAGTAAAGTAAAATATTCAGAAAAATAAGCAACATAAGAAAGAAAAAATTCAACATTTGGTTTGGAAAAAGGGACTTCCCCTAACACTAAAATGGATTCATACTTAAAATAAAAATTCGACTTATAGAATGCACATTTCCCATATTCCTATTGGCACGTGATAATATTTTTATTCGAGTTATAGAGAATTTCGAATTATAGAAGTTCGAGTTATGGAAGTTTGACTGTAACTGATTTAATTTGTGACAAGTAACTGCTTAGCACGTTCGGTAACAACAAAATTCTTGCTCAGGGGACTCATTCACCTCCCTTGGTAATGTTATGTGAGATTGCAATTTCAATGATAATAATTTGTTTTAGGCCTTTGCAGTATTATCTTCCTTTTGATGATATGTTACGGGACTCACTTATGAAACTAATAAGTTTTTTTGAAATATTTACGATGAAACTCAGTAGTTTGGTAAATGCGTACGATTCTCATTAGATAATGTTAATTAAAAAGCTTATTATCGTAATAGATCGAAAGTGGAAGAGAAATATCCTCTATTTATTTAGTGCATACTTACGCTATTATAAATTTGAATTGCATTTAAAATAAAATAACAGAATAAATAAATCTCTACCAAAATAATAGAAACATGCTCGTTTACGAATATAAATATCAAATTAGAAATAATCACAAAATTCGCATTAAATTTAAGTAAACCAATTTGTTTTTTTTTTGAATTTTGAAAATTGTTATTTTTTTTTTTTGAAAATGGTATAAATTCTAATAATTCTTTTGTTTTACTATTTTATAACTAATTGTATTTTAAAATTATTTATAAATTAACAATTACCCTTAACTACATAATTCGATACCATTACACATCTATCAGTAAAATTTCAAGCAAAACACATTGTTTTTTTTTTTATTCTACATTTATGTATACGAATTTAATTTTGAAATTTTTATTAGATGCTGTAACGGCAGTATTATTCATAATAAAATAATAATGATAAGTTAAAAATGTTAAAAGTTTAACTATTTTTCTTAAAATCTAATGAAAATGTATACATTAGAAATGTATTTTATGCACTTTTTTATAATTTTACTTTAAATTTTTTTAATTATGTTTATTCTTCAATTGTAAAAAGAAGGTTTTTGAATTTATTTGAATATGTACAAATCAGTTAAGACTGTTCATCCACCAATAGCATAATTTGTTGTGTCGCAGTCTGCGCTGGATTCCGTGTGCATTCAACTTGGTGAGCATTCCAATCTTTCCGTTGACAGAACTCAGAGCAATATGGAGTCTTCCGACATAAGGAGCATTCCGCAAGAGCTTCTCGATTACAGTTCGCACACTAAAATTAAACAAAAATAATTTAAATTAATTATAAAGCATTGCAAATTACATATGATTATATGTATACAAGTCAATTGATCTCAAAAACATTATTACTAAATAATGTTAATGTTAAAAATTTATTTGCTAAATAATACACAAAATATATATATTAAACAACATATCAGTGACATGATATTAACTACAGCATAGTTGATAGAGTGCAATAATTAATTAATAATATTTTTATTCTAATTACGTTTACAATATATTAATATGTATTGTAATTTTCATTATAAGTATTATTTAAATTGTTTACGGCTCATTTATTATTACTTAACGCGAAGAGAGAAGAAAGATGAGATTCCTTAAATTTTGACAAAGAGCAGTGTGAGAAGAAAGAGAGATTTAATTTTTTTTTTTAATTTATACATTATTAAAATATATATACCTATATCTTAGTCTATTTAATTTTTTTTTGTAAGTCATTTATTTTTTTTAAAATTTATGATAGAAAGTTTAATTTCTTTTTAATTTTTATATTATTAAAATATATATATCTCTTTAATATTAGTTCATTTAATTTTTTTTATATAAATCATTTATTTTATTTTTTAATTTATGAGAGAGAGAGAGATTTAATTTTTTTTTAATTTTTTCATTATTAAAATATATATATCTCTATAATATTAATTCATTTAATTTTTTTTTAAATCATTTATTTTTTAATTAATTTATTTTTTTTTATCGTTTATTTTTTATGATATTAATGTTCTTTTTATTTTTTTACAAATTTTTTTTTTGTTTAAAATTTATTTATGCTTATGGTTAGATTAAAACTGGCTTCTTGGGAATATACACCATTCTAACTGGTTTTTATTGTAAATTTATGGAACTGGTATATATAACAAATAGGGACGTTTTTGTGATATATTGTTACATTATACCATGGAGAAATTGCGTTATTAAACGCCGCTTCAAATATTAGAATAAGATCTTAATTAAAAAAAAAGAGTAGCTCAGAAAGAACTACCTAAATTATGAATTATTAGGTCTTAAATCTTATTTATCAAAAAAATAGTAAAATGTCATAACATTATTTGACAGAATATATATTAAATTTAAATTAATTTAAAGAAAAAAAAAATATATATATAACAATTGAACAGCCAGTTATATCAGTTTTATTGTGTATCAAGCAAAATTTTCGGAATTATTTTTATTTATATTTGAATTGATAACACATTTAAATATATTATAAAATCTTTAACCTAAACATTTTTTATATATTAAAAAATATTATTTTATTTACTGGTTTTTGAACAGGCTGATTGGTCATCTGTTTAAAAAGTTATGTAATAATTAAACAATTAACCAACTAACCAGTTAAAAAATATATAAATAAAATTTGGTCATTAAAAGAATTAATTATTTTATTTATTATTTTCAGTGATACATAAAATAAATCAAGATTTAATTACATTATTAATATTGTTATTTTATAAGTATAATACACAAAATAAATATATTCATTTTTATTTATCATTTTGCTATAATTACATTTTTGATTTTATTTTTCATAAAAATATATTCAATTTTAGTTTTTACGCTCTTTAACATATATTTACATTTATAAGCTTTTTATTTATTTTAAAATAATTTATATTTTAATAAAATTTATTTTAGAAAATACTAACAGAACCGTTTTTAGTTTTTAATTAAATTTAAGTATATTTATTTATAAGTTAAAATTTTTTTATTTGATTTTTTAATTAAATATAAATTTTATTTAAATTTTTTGATTTTGTTATATTACGTTTAATTGTGTTAAATTTTATTTAAATAGTTAGTAATTGGTAATAATTTATAGTTTTTAATATTGAAGATTACATTCGATATTGTAAGGGAATGATATTTTAATTTAATATTTAATGATAATATTTTTTAATAATAATTTCCTAAATTTTTAATATACTATATTTTGCATATAATAGATATTAATAATTGCATATCACATTTTATTATTTTTAAGACATTTTCATTTTAATAAATACATATAAAACTGATGAAAATACAATTTATGTAAATCCTATATAATCCATATAAATATATGTAACATATTTATGTTATTTTGGATGTTATTATTTATGTATATTTTATGTTTCGCGCCATTATTCTCAATTCACTGAAAGATACATCGGTTTTCTCATTAATTATTCTTCTGCTTAATCTAAATTGATTTTTCTGTATGGATCCTACTTTTTATCTGCCTTTTGGATTATATTTAGCATTTCATGTGTTATATCGGTAACTCATTCGCAGAGGTAGTGTTGTTATGAATAGAATCTTGCTTTGTTGTGCCCCACAACCCTTTGTTGCTTATAATTTTAGACCACTAGATTTTTAGGAATAGCGGAAGACATTCCAATGATTAATGTAAAACATAGTCTTAACATAGTCACATAGTCTTGTTAAAGAATTAATTGTTAATATTATATATTATACTTTTTGTAAAATATTAGATTGTTATAGTCTTCTAGACGCTATTATAATTTTATAATTGTATTTTTTTTCAATAAAAATATTGTAATACATATATATTATTATTTCATCTTATAATTATTATTAAAATAATTATATTTTAAAGAACTTAAAATAATTTTTTATTATTATTAGTTTACTGCAATTGTTAACGGTTTTGGACATCGATATTATTTACATTTGCGCTATGTGAACAATGATACAGACCCGTCCGATAAAATATGATTTAGATGATAAAGATTTTTGATAGTATATTAGTCTTATAGAATTATCAAAGTTGATATTTATTATCATTCAATCAATTTATTGTTAGAAAGAAATGTTGCAATCCTTTTTATGATTCTTGTATTTGTGTTCTAATTATAATTAAAATTTTTTCATTATATATTTTTACCTATATATATGTGTTTTGTTTTTATATTTAATGTCATAATATCGTTAATTATTTTCTAAATATATTTAAATTATGTTTTAATGTTAATGTATTCTATAATTGTTTCTTTGTGATATATACTAAAATATTGTTATATTGTTTTAATATAATATAGTAGCCTGATGATGATCATAGATTATAGGCGAAATATCGGTTAGAATAAAATCTCTTAAACACAAAAACTTAACTATTGACCAGTTAGCCCGTTAAAAATAAATTTTATTCAATATAAAATATTAATTTATACAATTTCAAATATTTCAAAAAAGTTATTTTTAATTATTATTTTTAATTAATTATTATATTAGAATATATTATTTTAAAAATATATGTATACATTTAACCTAAAAATATTAATTTACAATAAATATTATCTGTTCGTAAATAAAAATGTTACAAATTTTATAACGTTTTGAAGTTAAAAAACTGAACCTAGAAAACTAATAATACATTTAAATATATACTTATTTGTTAGAAGTGAATAAAAAGTGTATTTAAAACTCATTTATTTTCATTCAGTAGCTTTAAATATATCTTTGATAATATCGATATAAAATCGATCATTTAAAAATAAGATTAGTTATTTGCATTACTTCTGTGTGATTTATTTTGTGTTTTAATAATTTTTCTTAAGTCTAGGTATGGCACTTGTAGTCTATAAAATTATATATGGACAAATATACAAATAAGTTACTTCTAAAGATCATGATGTGTATTAATATCCGAAACAGCTTTGGAGTCAGCAAAAAAAAAACGCAATTAATTAAATATAAACATTTTGTTGTGACAATTTATTACTTTTTAAGAACTTTTGTATTTAGAAATCAGTTGCCTCATCATAATTGACTTTAAAATAATATTTAGTTTAGAATAATTACTTTTAATTACGTTCCGATAAGATTTCAATGTAATATTATTATTACTTTAATATGATTCCAATTTTTAATCATTAAAAAAGATAAAAAATGCTAGCATCACAATTTTTCAAGTTAAATTTATTTAAAACCTTTTAAAAAGACTAATTAAATTTTTATATAGAATTCTAATTAATAGTTTTTACTTTGAAATATAATTGATATTTTGAAGAAGTTGTTATGTAATGCATTTAATATTCATGAAGATATTACGTACAGTATACGAGAGACGACTTTAAAATATGTATTTAATTTTTAAATTTACCTTAGATAAGGAAAAAATTCTTACTTTTTTTGCTGAAATAATTTCGTTTCCATGCAGTGATCCCGCTATGTTGGGGTCATCTAAATCTGAATGTACTTGTACACGCATTGCTGCCATAGCTGCATCTCTCTCTTTTTGCAATATCTCGATTTTACGATCATACGAATTCTTCAAGTCGGTCAGTATGCGCTTAAAGTCATTGGTAGCTTTCACCATTGTGCAATAAACATTTTCAAGATTTTTCATAGTTTGATTGTTATCCATGAAAGAAATTGAGCCTGCTTCACTGATATTAACTACAAATGTTTCTCTCTCGTAAGGATTTCCAATTTGTGACTGATCAACAAGCTCAGTGGAGGTATCAAGACTGTCATTGAGTGTTGGCCATGGTTCATCTTTTGATGCAATATTATCTTCTGCAAGGAACATATTGTTCTCATCTACAACAGTGGTAGCTGGTTGTTGTTCGATGCTGTTATTGTTGTTGTTGGTGTTGTTATTTCTTTTACGTTTTGGACCTGAATCTATATCTTCATCTGCTTGATTTCTCTTTCGACGTTTATAAGGAGTAAAAAGTCGTACTGGCCCCGACGCTATAAAATAAGTTTTATATATATTAATAATGTAAGTTTTAAGTAATTTGATATTTTTAATAGTTTAATATTACAATATCTTACACTAAAAACACACTACATTTGTTTGTAATTTTAGCTGTCGAAAATTATTATTTTCCATTGAAAGCAACAACAATTGACAGTTAAAATTAAAAATATGACAGCTGAAATTACAAACAATACGCTCGTGTGAATCCAGTATTAATTGTTGTATTTGAATTCAAAGGAAACTACATATCGTCGTTGCTTACCGTGGTTATTCTCTTAATTTTTGAAAGTTTTCTTGCCATTTTTTTTTTAATAATGTAACCTCTGCATTAAATAATAATAAACATTTATATAATAATGCTGCAGTTGTTGTTATCTCCGTACTTAATATATATCATAATTAACCTCCTTAGGAGGAGATGAATAGCCAAGCCATTACTCTTTGCTGTTATTCAATACTTTCGAGTCTTATATTTGCTCATTCTTATAATAAGTATATAAAGAGTAGTATAACATTGCATATACATATTTGAGCTGAAATGCTTAAGACAAATATTTTTTTTAAATATGATTTTTTATATTATGCTTTATTTTAAGAATTAACTTTGCAATTCAACAACTGATCCTTAATTAGTTTTTGTAGCGCAGTTTATTACCGAACAGAAATATCTCATATTTTATTCGACTTCATATGTTGATTTGACCAAATGCTTTTCAAACCAAAAGAGTACTGGTCACGGATTGATATTCAATTGGACAACTGCGGCAAGAAAGCAGAGCTGCCAAAAAAAGACAAAACCCACAGAAATCAAGGATATAAATTAATCCATAAAACATTAAATTATTATACCAACATATTTGAAGAACATTGAAAGGGCTTGTAGTGTAACTGAGTTATTCTATTTTTGAAAGAAAATTTTCATATTTATAATGACTTAAATCGTTACTCAATTTAACGATTTCAAAGAAAATAGATATATACAACATTTAAATGGAATATATGTTTAACTTAAATGAATAGAAAAAAACTGAATACTTTGAATGTAGATTATATTATTCACTAATTCGTTTGAGTTAGCCTATTTTAAGCAATAATGCATAATCATTTCGATAAATTTTGTGCACTAAACCAATTTACGAAAATCAAGCTATCAATAACTGGTTGTGGCTGTATGTTATCAAATATACCTACCGGCTTCATCATCACAGCAGACAGTGCAACAACAATTAGTCGCGTGAGGTGTAAGCGCTCCTTCGTCAATTAATGATTGCAGGGATTTACCGCCATATTTAATTGAACGTTTCCAGTCTTTACTGGAGCCACGACCACAAACATTTTCGAATTCACTAGGTGTGTACCATTTATCCTTATACTTTACACAACGTCCACGTCCGCCAGAACCTAATTTACTACGATGTAATTCAGCAGTTGTAGTTTTACAACGTATAGCAAAGACTTCCACGTGATTCGTATCAGCCCAACTCACATTCCCTGAGGCGGACCCTTGCGCTGGATGATCACCCGTTGCGGCACTGTCATGGCTATTGTTGCTTCCAGAACCGTCATGATTTCCTCCACTACCACCAGGTTGTTGCTGTATGACAATGGTTTTTAAGTCACCACCAACATTGCCTACCACAGTACCGCCTGATATATAACCATTGTTGTCCACACACAACATTTGTTTAAAATTTGGTAGTTGGTCTTGTGTAATCATATTAAATGTAGTGCCCGTAATCATTGAACCTATTGGTAAGTTTACGGGAACTGACACAACACCGCCACTGCCACTGTTTTCATTCGATGATGTGACCATGCGCATTTTTGTATCCAACTATGATTAAATAATTAAACATAATTATTTTAATTGTTACTTTTTAATAAATATTTATATAAAATAGTTGCATTTCAATATTTTTTTATCTATATATGCAAGAAAAATTGTGTACACATTAATCGGGTCTTTGGAGGTGGTGGTGGGCCGACAGAGGGTGTCGCGCGCACTTTGCTGTTAAAATATTTAATAAAATTTCACTTACTTGGTGATGAGCTGTGGTTTCAAGAATAACTTCTTCCTCTTTTACAATATCTCGTGCATCATCACCAAGACTACCTAAATCTTTTACATCGCGTATCCTACTTAAGTGAATTTCGGCGGAATCAACTTGCTCCATAATATTTTTTCTTCTAATTAAAAATTCACATAAAATATGCACTTTTTTTTTACAGGCCTTAACACAACTATTTTATTTAATTTTCTTATTTAATAACCGATTATTTAAATGTTGTTTTAGTTTTGTAAACAATAAATCACATTTTGCTTATAAATACATTTTCGTCAAAAATATTGAAATGTGTGACATTTTTTAAGTGATAACAACTTTCAGTGCTGTACTGCGTTCGAATTAATTTCGACATTCCAACTGTCAAATTAATTTTTGTATACGTTGAATGCATTTCTAGTCTATATCATTAGTTTTGTTTGCAATTGCAAATTTACTACATTTAGCATTTCAATAATACATATTAATAGAAATATCTTTTCTAAACTCTCTATTATATTTATAATAAATATAAAAATTTATATGATATTTTTGAAATCCGCTGTTTCTGCTTTATAATTGTTTATTGATATATAAATGTTTATAGTATATAAATATTTATGATGTACATATTGTGAATTATGATAATGAAAATTTATATAATTATTAAACTTAAAAGTAATGTTTTTTTATATATTTCCTTATGAAATTTTATATCATTTAATATTATACTAGCGTACAGATTCCCTTTGCAATATATTACATTGTTTTCGAACACAACATACGCATTAAAGAAGTTTGTTTATGTTATTTGTCGAATTCCAGCTGTCAAACTCGAGTCTTATTGGAATACTGTGTTGTGTTAATTGGAATAGTTTTGTTGATAAACTTTGAGTTTTAATAGATAATAATTTTATACACTTTGTAATAAGTAAAATAAAATTCAGACTGATATAGTATTTATATTATAAAGATCAATTAATTCAAAATGTTAGCTGATGTTGATGTTTTTATCAGTAATTATACATTAGTAGATCCAGAAATCTATCAACTATTCATAGAAGGATTTTCCTGTTAGTAAAAAGTCGCGTAATGATATTGGTATTAATGCCAATTCTAGCATTTTACATTTATTTAGTGAAATTAATAAAATTTAAATTAATGCAGCTAGTGAAGCAGTATGCTATATGAAGCAGAAAGGTTTTGTTCAGTTTTTGGGCGCTCCAATTGATCTTATTGCATCTGATATTTTGGACCATTACCGCACTTATTCTTTAATTGAACGTCTCTTACATGCACCAACAAAACTTTTAGAACAATCATGTTTTCAATTAGAACCCAATACAAGAGATTTTATTATTGAAAAGTAAGTTCCATCTGCATATTTGTTTTGCCTTCTATTTAGTTTACTTTTTTTTTGTTAAACGTATTTATATCGTAGGTATTACTCCATTGACGATGCTGTGGCTCGTGAAATATTAGGCAAAAAACTATCATCACGGTATCGTAAAGATTTGGATGAGGTCGCGGAGAAAACTGGTGCAAAACTGAAATCCTGCAGGTGAAATTAGTTAAACATATACTAATTTTTATTTTTTATTACGTTTTGTTATATGTAGACGTCAGTTTGATAACGTAAAAAGGATTTTCAAAATTGTAGAAGAATTACCTGGAAATATTACTAATAATATAAAACAGCATTTTAATATATCAGACGAACTTGCTAAGTAAGTAATCCCAAATATTTTTATACTTGAATATTAAATTTGTTGTTTTATTTTAAATAGCCAAAAAATGTTCAGTAGTTCAATTTTTAATTAAATTATTTTTAGTACATTTTTTAATATATACTCATTTATAAAATCTATATACATGCTTTCTGCACTAGGAAATACGCAACAATTGTGTTTTTAGCATGTTTACGTTTTGAAACATCAAAAAAGAAACTGCAATATTTAACGTTTGCAGATTTGTTTGCATGTTCCCAAGCGATTATGATTTATTGGACGTACACTTATCAACATACTGGACCAGAATACTATGATACCGAAATGGATAAAGAATTTCTATTGGACTTAAGGGAGTTAAGATGTTTGCTGGACAAAGAAAAAGAAATTAAACAGTAATCCTAAATTCCCATCTTAATTAAAAGAAATTAAAATAAATTCTTATTTCAGTCTTGTATGTATGCGTTTGAAACCTGTTTTATTGGAGAGATCATTTCACGAATTGGATGCAAATTTTCGGTATGACAATATATCTATAATATTATCATGATATTTATATTAATCCCAATTCTTTTTTAACATATTTTTACATATTAACATTTTAAATAATGTACTTATGGCTACTAGACTAAGCTAATAAAATGAATATCGATTAGTTAAAATTAGTTATTAGTTAGATATAATGAGTAATATACTAATAATTATAAAAAAAAATAAAATTTTATGATTGAAGAACAAAAATTTAAAATAAGTACAAATAATAGTAATAGATGTGCAAATGTAATATAATGTAAATATCCTAATAAGAAAAGTTTTATGACTTATAAATTTTTTTAACACAATATAGTACTACTAGTATAATATATATTACTGCTACTATCAATACATATTTCTAACATGGCTTAAGTATTATTTGCAAATACAAACTGAGGATATGCATATTAAGGTTCCCAGAACGGCTGGGTCTATGTCCCGGAGCGATGATCAAGTGTTGTCCAACACCTCTCAAAAGAACTTCACAAGCATATTAACATAATTTACCTTAATAATTGTTTATTTTACATATTTACATGTTGTTTCATATTATTTAAAGTAATATTTAATATTTAAAGTAAAAACCGACCCAAAGCCTGATAGAAAACAAATAGCTATAAAATAATGTAATAAAAATAAAAAAATAAATATATAAAAGAATGTATTATGATTATTAAATATAAATTAATATGATGAAGTTATTTAATTTAAGCTATGTTGCAAGTTTTTCAGATTATTAATAATATTATTTATTCTAAATATACTATATTTAGTATATTATTATGTATTACTATTTATATACTATTATTATTATTATATTATTATTACTATTTACTACATTTTAAATTAATAATAAAATTAATATATACTTTATATTTAACGAAATACATTCATTATTTATAATTATTAAATATAAAATCCTAACCATTTTTTACCTATGGATTTTAATACCTATTGATTTTAAATTAATTCCATAATTAAATATACTTTGTAAATAAATTATAAAAAAAATTGTAATACATAATGATTTTTATTATTAGCTCATATTGGCGTGCTCTCATCACGATCGCGTGTAATCTACATAGGACTCGAGAACTTAGAGATTTGTTTTTGGATTTATGTGAAAAACTTGTTGAACCATGGCGACAAAATGGTTGGACTCGAGAACAAGTCAATAAATTTTTATCCGCTATTACACAAGGTGTTTTAGATCTGGAAATATCTAGGTATATATACAATAAAAATATAATTTTATTTTTTTAGAAAAAAAATTTAATGCTCTTAATTTAGGGATCAAGAAACTCGGTGTCTTTGGGATCGATACATGCAGGTTATAAGCATTTGTTTGGATAAAATGTATCATATATAAAATATATGATAAAAAAAATGTTGTTTTGTGTTTGTGTTTATTAAAGACTATATTGTTGCAATTTTTAAAAAAATCATTCTTCCATATAATAAATAAATTTCATATCAGTGGATTTTGATTTTTTGGATATTAATGAAATATGCTTTGTTATATATTTATTAATTTGAAAGAATAATAATTAATTGGTTATAATTAATTGGTCTATTTTTATTTTTTAATTGGTCTGCAATTAGAGCTAGAAAAAAGAAGAATAATATAAAATAAGAAGGAAAAAAAACTATTATTAGAGATGATTTCTGTGAGCTTATTAATATGAATTTTTTATGAGTCATTATTTGGTGTGTTACACACATTATGTATATAAATAATAATTAATAAATAGGATTAAGGACATTATTTTAATGAAATCTTAAAATTTTTTAATTTCCCATGGCAATATTTGCATGAGTATAAAATAATTTTTACAGCTTTTTTGATATGTGATTAAAATAAGAATACTCTAATATTAAACGTTAAGTCCACTCAACTTTTGTTAATATTGAAAATTATAGTTGCATCAACAACAACTACATCATTAAATTTTGCATATAATCTAAAGAGTTGTGCATTTTTTAAATTTCAGAATTTCTCTATGAGTTAAAAAATATTTTTTATCACAATTGATCTATCTTGCTCGCCTTCTACCTTCGTAACAAACGAATTTAATAAACAAATTTCCTATTTTAAAACATTTTATTTTAATATAGACCTGTGGTTCCCAAGTCTTTTTTTGACCAAGGACCATTACGATATATTTGTTTTTTGTAGGGACCAGAAAATTTATGAATAAAAAAACTGTATGATTAATGTGCTCTATGCATCTCTGGTATGATGTATAATGAATTGTATAAGTGCATATGTACATTATGTAGGCAATAAAATAGGTGTATAATCACTTGGACATTTTTTGTGCTTATTCTTTAATAAGTGAGGTCTCAGTGGACAAACAACATGTATCCGCATATGTTAAATTTCAATTACGGACTATTTATAATTATTTCAGGGTACACCGGTTGAGAACCACTGATATAGATATACACATATCTGTAAGCTATAATTTTATACTTTAGTTTTATAGTGTCTTTTCTGGTTCATTCTAAGAAAACATTTAAAAGTTTAAATATGAAACTATTTTAAAAATAAAAAAATACTTAAATATATATCATATAAATATATATCATAATAATGTAAATAATGTGATGAAAAAATATAATTTATTTGGATTTATCTTCAATTCCATCAAAGCAAAGTGGATATTTCATATATTGAAGTTTCTTTAATAATGCCGTATAGATACTTCGTCTTCTTTGTTTCGTTAACTCCCAGTGGAGCATAGGGCCTCAAGCAGTATAGATTAATATATATTTATGTACTAAGCGTTTATTGAAAGCTCCTCTTATAGATATTTTAAACTTAATGTAAAAACAATTTGTTTGGTTTTAAAGTTCTCTTATGAATTCTTTAATAATAGACTTTTGTTTAACTTGTCACGGCTTCAAAAAGATTGATATATTTGCCGAAACTAAAACCGGAATTAAAAACAAAATTTATCTATTTTTTTTGGTTCAAAGTCGTGCTCACATTCGTCTTCGATTGTTAAAACTCTAATAACTGTTGTTGTTATTTATTTAAATTTATTATTTTTGTTGAATAAATTCATCAAGTGTTCTCAAAAATATTAATAAAATGATTTTAATTAAGACAAAAACAAAAAAAAAACAAATTACAATACAAATAAATACATAAAATATATTTAGTCCCTACTGAACTAACAATTGGAATAAACCGATATTTTTGTTGGAACGAAAATCGAAATCGAGCCAATATTTTTTTTTAATGGAATCGGTACTATAGATAGATTTTGAAGGTTTGGGAATTATGTCACTACGTCACTGCATCCTTTTAGAATTATTGTGACAAACTCACTTTAGTTCCATAGACGCGTAGCAATTAAAAATGTTATTGTGTCCCTTGAAGATATGTTGCCTATATCCGTTATAAGTAGATAGGCAGTTGAGAAAGTACCGAAGTCTGAATCTGGCATGACAATTACAGTGACATAAAATGTGTTCTGCTGTTTCCTCTTCTTCGTGACAACGTCTGCTGCTATCATCTAGATTTAGATAGCTAGATTTGATAGATGTTTTTTGACTCCGCAATCAGTCAGAAATCCTGTGATAAATCGGATAGATTTTCTGTTCAGCATAAGTAGCTCCCTAGTTTTGGATTTTGATCCATTCGGCATGAATTGTTTAGCTTGTCTGCAGGCAATTACATTATCCCAATCAGTCTTAGCTGCTTTTTTCAGTCAGTTATTAATTTTAAGTTTGATCGGAACCATATCCCTACTTTTTGATCGATTCGACATGAATTGTTTAGCTTGTCTTTAGGCAATTATATTTTCTCAATCAGTGAGCTGCTTTCTTCGATCATTCATTAATTTTAAGTTTGATCGGAACCATATCCCTACTTTTTGATCGATTCGACATGAATTGTTTAGCTTGTCTGCAGGCAATTATATTATCCCAATCAGTGTGAGCTGCTTTTTCCACCCATTCATTAATTTTAAGTTTGATCGGAACCATATCGCTATATTTTATTTAACGCTTTAAATAAAAGTATTTCATAATAAATTTATCATTATTTAAAGTATTACTCCAAACAATTTTAAACGAAAGATTGTTAATATTTTTTTAATTTAAACAAATTGTGTATGCGTTTATAAAATATATTTATATTAATTACTATTTAACTGTATTTATTTTATCATATTATTATTTTTTTTTTGTTTTTTAAAGAATCTTGATCTAGCCTAACATTTTATTGTACATCATTACTTATGATCGTTTCGAAAACAAACAAAAAAAGTAGGGCAGTATGTTTTTTATATTATTTTTTTATGTACACATAACCTATTGAACATATTTAAATTATTTGAAACTAAGTTTAATGAACTAAATCATTTAATTTAATTGCGAAGTCTAACTGTTTTCACAAACAAATCGCCGTCATTTAGAATATTTTTTATTGGAATTGCATGCTGGCACTCTCGAGTATTTCTACTTAAATTTGTTTGTAAACAGAAATTTTAGTGCAGTAGATACAGACAGAAATCTCTTCGCCCTCCCCGGCATTACAGCACCCAAAAGCGTAGAGAAAAGTCACTCATTTGTAAATTATTTCCATTTGTCAGTTGCGAATTTCCATTAAACTCAATTTGTTGCTTCTATTGGAAAATTGCATTTCACGCCAAATATTTTTTAGTACTTATAAAAATAAGGAATAAGGAATTAAAAATAAAAATAGTTATTAAAGGATTCACTTAATACATATTATTTTGTTTTATAAGAATATAATATTATTTTAATGGAATTCCGGTAAGTCGCACTGAGTGCATTTAATAAATTTGCCGTGGTGTAAATGCAAAAATGGAACTAACTTTCTTTACACTTGACAAAAGATTATTTTAAATAAATTTAATGCAGAAATAGTTTAATAATATTTATTATTGATATAATATAAAATGCCATAAAACAGCTTTTGATTCGAATATATTAAAAAAAGTTGGCTAAGTAGGTTTTAAACGTACGATTAAAACGCATGAAACCGGATGTGTTATTGCAATGAAGCAATGAAAATAAGTGTGTTAAAATGTCGAATAAGTGTTTATTATGTTTATTATTATAAAAAACTGTTTTATTATTACTAAATATTATAAATGTATTACTTGAAGTCCTTAAAATAGTTTTTATATTCATAACAGTGACACTTTAGAGGAATTGGACGATGACACGTTTGACGACGCTAAATCTACTCGTACTACCGACGAAAATCGCAAGTAAGTTGTACATTTCTATTTAAATTACAAAAATAAATTTATATACAAAAACATATTTAAATAAAAATTATATATGTATTTCTCTGTTAATTTTATTAAAAAGGCAAAATCACAGTGAAATTGAAAAAAGGCGACGAGATAAAATGAACACATATATAAATGAGTTATCGTCTATGATACCCATGTGTCATGCAATGCACCGAAAACTGGATAAATTATCAGTATTGCGTATGGCAGTCCAACACTTACGCAGCATACGTGGCACAGTTCATCCATACAGTGGTGGCGATTATAAACCAACATTCCTTTCAGATCAAGAACTTAAAATGCTTATATTGCAAGCAGCTGAAGGATTTTTATTTGTTGTTGGTTGCGACAGGGGACGAATTCTATACGTTTCTGAATCTGTTTCAAAAGTTCTTAATTGTACACAAGATGATTTACTTGGACAAAGTTGGTTCGATGTACTTCATCCAAAAGATGTGGCAAAAGTAAAGGAGCAATTATCGTCGCTGGAACCAGTGCCAAGAGAACGTCTAATTGACGCTAAAAGTAAGCTAACTATCTATATCAAGAAGACTTATAATTATTTTAGTTTTTAGAGAGATTTTAATTTAGAGGGTTTTCGAAGAGTAAAGAAAGAAAGGACAAACTCATGGCTTAGAACTCGCCAAATTATATACGGACTATAAGCTAACTAAGAAATAGGATTATTTTCTAAGACCACTGATGATGAGTTGTACTTGCCAATACTCGAAACAGCGTTGTATGGTCAGCCAAATTCCAATAAATTAACTAAAATTTTTGTGTTTGTCTTTTCTTTCGTTGCTATTCGAAAACCATCTAAATTTTCAAAATAGCTTCTTTGTCATTATAAGAGAGTGTACTTTTTTCGGCACCACTAATAAAAACTTTAAAAAAGAATATATGATATGCCTTCGAAAAAAATGAGTTTAATGCACTTTATACCAAATTGTCATATGAAAATAATCACATTATTTAATAGTTATTTAAATGAAAAACATTTTTATGATTATTTTTAATTTTACAATCATTTTATATAATTTTTAGCTATGCTACCTGTCAAAACAGATATTCCACAAAGTTTGTGTAGGTTGTGTCCAGGAGCGAGACGTTCATTCTTCTGTCGTATGAAAGTTAAAGCTCACAGCAATCAAATCAAAGAAGAATCAGATACATCATCCAGTTCGCGTAGTTCGACAAAACGAAAATCAAAGTTAAGTGTAGATCATAAATATAGAGTTATACAGTGCACAGGTTACCTTAAGTCATGGACACCAATCAAAGACGAAGAACAAGATGCAGATAGCAATGACCAAATGACGAACCTTTCATGTTTAGTAGCAGTCGGTAGAATACCACCTAATGTGTTGGAATCTAATATACCATCGTCGTTAGATACTCATCCCAACATAAGACATGTTTTATTTATATCCAGACATTCCATAGATGGAAAATTTCTTTTTATAGATCAAAGGTGTGCATAACAGTATACAATATTATAGTATATAAAATGATTTGATATTTTTAAAACAAAAAATATATATATTTCATATTTTAGAGCCACATTGGTCATTGGTTTTCTGCCTCAAGAGATACTTGGCACCAGTTTTTATGAATATTTCCATAATGATGATACACCCGCATTAGCAGAATCACACAAAACTGTAATGCAAATACCAGAGAAAGTAACGACACAAGTGTATCGATTTCGTTGTAAGGATAATAATTTTGTACAATTACAAAGTGAGTGGAGAGCTTTTAAGAACCCGTGGACTAATGATATTGATTATATAATCGCAAAAAATTCCGTGTTTTTGTAAGTTAAAAAATAAAGAATTACTTAATCGAAAGTATTGAGTTATCTTTAATTATGATAGATATTCTAATATTATCTGTAGAGATATTAACATATCTCTAATTGATAGATGTGCTCAAATTGAAAGTATTTAATTTTTTATAAAAATATTAATAACGTTCTGTAACAGGTTTTTAGAAAGAACTTATTATTAATACAATAGCAAATGTGTTTAAATTAAAGAAATTTATAAACAAATCATTAATTAGTGTATAAATATAAAAAACAAGATACTGATCAAAAAGGAAATTCTCTAAAATTCTCCTTTATGTATTGGTTGCACTAACAGTAATGCACGTGTTAACTATCAAATAACTGTGATACTTAGCTTGTATTAGCTGATCAAATGTGCAAAATGTACATTAATGTATTTGGCGATTTTGAGCCTGAGAAAATGTTGGATAAATGAGTTTATATGGAATTGTGTATTGAAAACAGAATAAAGTATACGGAGGGAATTATGAAAAACCTTTTTATATACTATATTTTTCAGAAGATCGAAAAAACATTGGAGATGGCTTGAATTTTCGACGTCAAACATTGAAATAAATTGTGAAAAGGTGAAAAAGGTTAAGCAGAATATGTTTTCTAATAGAAGAATTACCCTTATGGAGGTTGCTAAAAAAAATAGAAGCTAATAAGACTCATTGGAAACGATTTTCGCTTTATTTTTATTATGACATAAAACGAGTGATAGCAAAATCTGTTTTGCAAAAAGATACCCTGAGTACAAGGTATGTCTTCAATAAATGAGATAAAGGTAAACCGTAGAATAAGTGCGGGACCATAAATGAAGTGGCGTTTTCGCAAACTGAAAACGGTGACATAAGAACGGACTCTTTCAAAAGCAGATGGAGTAAACATTGAGGATTGAATAAATACTTTTTAAAAAAAATTAATAATTCTCTTTACTTTTTGATCAAACTGAAAACTAAAAACTATGTTGCCATAAGTCAATTTTATTAAAAGAGAATTACTTTGAAAGAGTTTAAATAAAGCTGGAATATTAAATAATTATTTCTTGAATTATTGAGTTTTTGTTGCTTTTTGATCATAACCGGCATATATAGTGTGCAGCTTTTGGATATTTATCATGTTCAAAAGCGCTTTATGTCGAAGGAGTATCGAATTCAGCTCCCTTAGCTTAGAAAGTCGTTTTAAATCCACATTCACGTATCATGTAATTCTGATAAATGCAAGTATTCGGTCCATATCAATGTTACAAAAAGATAAAAATTTGCTGAGCGTTTCCACAATAGTGTCTCTGTTTTAATGATCTTGTTGGAATTATCATTTTCCTTTAAATACAGTATTCGTTACAAAAACACATAAAAAATTCTCCGTTTAAAATTTCCTCACAACACATAAATACTAATAATTTCGAATAACTTTTTGTCAAGTTTCTGTTTTCCCATTAATGGCTCTATGATTAAGAGGCCCTATGCTCCACTGGGAGATGAGGATAACAAAAGAATTAATAAAGACTAATTACATTTTATAATTTCCATAGAAGATTTTTCTTTTTTTTATACGTCTATACTTTTAAATAAATTAAAAAAGTTCAACCTTTTATTAGTTATAAAAATAAATAATATTTATATACCATATACAGGCTCGTAATCAGAAGAGTGGGTGAGGCCTTGAGAGGCTGAAGTTTGAAGGAATGCTTACTTTATAGTACTAACTAAAATAAAAAAGGATTAACTCATAATCGAATACAACAAATTCGATCAGCAGGAAATGTTTTCTTTTGGGTGTATACTCTTCCATTCTTACACACATAGCATATATACACAATATATTCTATATACTCTTTACAACAACTTAACACCTCTTCGACTGATTGGTAAGTAAAAGTATAGTCGATTCATACCCCTCGAAATATATTTCGAAGTATACGAACCTGCTCGTAAACGTATTGGGAACTGATTCAACATTGGCAATTGCATTTTCACGGTAATAATCATAATACGTTTTGTTTTAGGTCTAAAACTCGTTAGAATACTTAATATGTGTATATGTATGTGCACTTTGTTATAATTAAAAGGTATAGATTTTTAATTTACAACTATTTCCCAATAAATTTGTTAATAGAAGCTGTATATTTTGTTTCGACAGTTTTAGCAAAACTCTGCTATATTTTGAACCACCTCCATTTTTGTTAGTAAATGTTGTCTCTTTACAAAAAAAAAAAAACCTTGTAAGTTTATATTATACAATATAATAATTGCTTGAAATGTCGGATATGAGAGTACCGCTTAGGATTTATGAGAATGAAGTAGGAAGCAGCAAAAGAAGAGGGCAACCAAAAAAATGATGGAGAGACAGTATGCAGCAGGATCTAGAAGAAATGAACATAAGAAATTGGAAAACAAAAGCAAAAAACAGAAAAATGGAAGGATGTTGTTAAACAGGCTTAGGTCTTACATGGAGTGTATAGTCACGAATGATGATGATGAATAATTGTTTGAAGGCTGGGTTTTGACTTTCAAACTCTTCTTTTTTAACCAGGATATTATAAATGGGATAACATCTTTAATTATAAAGTTATTCTTTGACATACAGAGATATATGACGAATTTTAAAGAGAGTTAAGTATAGGGGTGCAGGTGTTCTGCAGATACTTAACATGCATATTTTATAATAATAATGCCCCCAACTTGCTTTTGTTTATAATGGTTACGCATTCTATTGAATGTTATACTTAGAGTTTAATATTGCCTACGTCTTCCAAAAATAAATGTTTGGTTCGTATAAATGCTTATACGAGTATGTTCATCAAGCGGGAATTTTACGTTGAGCAGGATCCCATTAAAAATTTAAAAGTTTATACTAAACTTAATATGCTCAAAATGTATAAAAATTGAGGAAATGGTAAAGTTACAGAAGGTAAAGCGGCACATTTTATAAAGTTTCTTGATAGAGGTGACTTAGTGTACCAGTATTGTAATAATTTTGTAGGTTTCTTACTAAAATATTCATGTATTGATAACATAAAGAATTCATAAGCAGTAATAGAGAAATCAGTTGAATGACATATTGGGATATATTATGAAGTTATAGATTTTGGAGAGACATTCTTTTTCATCTGTTATCTCATATTTCAATAAAACCTTAACCTTTAACATATGTTGTTATTATTGCTAATATCATTTACAATATGATAATAGTTTATAATCACTTCAAATATATATTGGCGATATTACCTGATGCTGTTATATGGATAGTATTATATATATAAAAATGATATTTTGGGTTAAAATAGAAGTGCCGCATCTAAAAGTTAAATAGTTATAATTCTTCAAATCTTACAATCTTTTGATTGTATTGTTTGGTACTTAGCATAGGATATTTTAGTTCGTATTTTGATTGAAAGTCAACCCGATTACTTGCTTGCTGTCGCCAGTTGGTAGTACCGAGCGCCCCCAAATCGTTGGTCACCTGCTTCTTCCATCGAACCTACGGATATCCTCTACCGTGTTTTTCACCTGCGGGTACCGAATCAAACATCTTTCTAGTCGGAGCACTTTCTTCCATTCGCACGACATGACCAAACCAGCGAAGCCGCTGAATTTTTATGCGCTTAATTAGGTATATCAATGTCGCGGTATAGCTCATACAGCACATCGTTCCATCTAAATCGATACTCGTGATAATAACGCATCCCTTTGACATACTATATAAAATAGTATTTATATAAACATATTTAATTTTATTTTTGACGAAATGTATTTTAAAACATATGTATGTTGCGGGCTAGTTGAAGACTTCGTATTTTTCGGATTCGCTTACTCATTAAACTTATCACTTTAAATAATATTTATTTAATTTTAAAAATATTAAATACGCAATTATTCTTTGTATATTATATAGTCATCATCAGAAAATAAACTAGATCTCATATTAAATGTTTGTTAGTTTGATATCAGCAGGCTATACTTTCAGTAAAGGTACATATCTGAGAGGTAAGCAGACTCGTAATAGAAATTTACTTTGGGGGCTTTAAGATAATTTATAATTTTTGACATTAATTAACATTCATGATAATACAGATATACATATGTATATAAATATAAATATTGTCCTTTAATTCGGTGGCTATGAGACTTCAGTTCCTCAAAACAGAACATCTGGCTAAAAGCCTGGTGATGAGTGATATATCTAGTTTCTCAATATAGTTTCGAACATTCAATAGATTCGTCTTAAAATAAGTGAGACTTGTTCATAATTATAAAATTTTGTAATTATTAATTTATATTTATTAATTACATTATTATTTATAATTAATTACAATGATTTATTATTTTAAATATTTTATAATAATATTGATTAAAAGGAAGCAACGATGTACAAGTGAGTCAATAAATACTTTCAAATATAATTAAATAAAAATAATAAATGAAAAAAATTAAACATTTTTTATACTTTTATCGTTAAACTGAAATGTGCACATTATACGATTATACCAAGAGATAAGTATAAAAAAATTAAGATATTCCACAAATGTAAATTCTTTTCTATGCTTAATTTTGGTGATTCGTGAGCATTCGATTCTTGTGAACGTGTTTTCGTTACTTATAAAAATATTAAGTAAATATTTATATAAACTGTGACTGTTGGAAAACAAATAAATGTTGTTAAATAATAAATAAATTTTTTTAAATAGTTTGGCATAACGTAGATAAACGTTTACGCATGTGCGCTTGATTTGTATGAAAAGAACTGACTGATATGCTCGGAGCTGTGAACGTGACAATTTTTATTGATAAAAATTTAACGACTAGTGTATATTTTTTCTTTAATTTTGGTTACTTCATAAAAATAGACACATACATATATATATATATATATATACAATATATATGGCTATTTATTTTTTAATTTTAAGAACGTTTTTAGTAGATGGCACATAACTTTCCATAACATCAACATCAATAGAAATAGGTATTCTATTAATCTCAGTTAAATGTATTTTTAAAAATATAATAAATCTGTAATTTTGAGTCATTTAATAAAAAATGTTTTTTTTTTTAACAGTAATGATGCAATAATACTGAATATACAGTCAAGCTTCCATAACTTAAAGTATCATTTTGCAAAAGCAGTTCGATTTATGAAGACTTCGAGTTAAACATTTTTTTTGTAATTGTTAGTAATTTGCTCTCTAAACCCTGTTGCACTCTATTTAGTTCGAGTTATAGAAAATTTAAGTTATAGAAGTTCGAAGTATGGAAGTTTAACTTTACGTACATACGGATGACAATAGTCTCTCCATGCTTTCTTTGGCAAGTGGGCTTTAAACCCTCAAGTTTATATGTACAGTTTAGTCCAAAATGGTGTTTTTATATAGTTTCAATATAAAAGAAACAAATCAAATATTTTTTTTCTGCTCACCTCTCATTCTTCAATACAATCACCCGTTCAATCATGATTATCATGGCTGTTGCTATGAGGAGAAAGTAGGACATATCACTGAACTCCTTTGCCAATGATGATACCTTTCCTGAAGACTACCGGTTTTTTATAGTAATAAAGTGATTTCCTGATTTGCAATAAATGTATCTTTACGTTGAGTTCTTGGGACAGCTAATGTGTGCCCAAAAATTTTATCGTTATTTATATATTAGTTATTAATTTTAAATGTATGTATCGATAACCTTATATAATATATTTTAGTTTTGTAAACTAGTTTATTGTTCTAAATTTATAATAAATATATAAATTAGTATAATATGTCTGGAATATAATTTTGTATATATATTAAAAAAATGTTTTTCTTCAGACGAATACATTTTAATAATGAAAATATTTATATAGTTGTTTGTATTCTCTTATATAGACCGTGTGCGAGTTCGACTAAATTGAGGGAAATAGTAAATTATGTTGGTATGACAGCAAATGTTGGTATTAACCAGAATTTCGATTACGATAAATTAGATAAAAATTAGGTAAATTAAGTGCTACCATTGTAAAAATTTTATAAGATGTTTGATAAATAAATAAATAAATATGAAAACTTTTAACCAAAAATAATAAATAAGTGCAATAAATAAATAAATAAATATTTACATAAGTGCAGTGGAAAAAATCCCAGGAAATTTTAATTTATTTTAACTCAATTTACTCTAATTCGGGCACAGCCTTAGACTTCAAAGTAAAGTAAAACAAAAATTGTTTATTCTAACAAGACTTGTCAACAAATATAAATAAAAAGTGAACTAAAAATGAATACTAACAGATGTGTTATAATTTTGATACAATTTCAACAATTCCATTTATACAATAATTAGTATAATTTGTGCTAAACAAAATATTTAAATATTAATTGTATACGTAATAATGTATGCGAAGTATTTTAATTTATATTCTTGAATACAGAAAAAGAAAATAATTTTTTAAATTATAGTAATGACTTAACAAAAAGAATACATACTAATAATGCATAGTATAATTTAAAATAACAACTGTAAAGTTTTATATTAATTTATATATCATTTAAGACAACCATTAAAATGGTTATTCGTTACACATATCACTATTTCTACCAATTAATGAATTTTGAGAAAAAAGTGAACAAATGAAAAGTTACTTATCGCAGCTCTTCTTAGTGAGTTCCCATAAACTATTATTTCTTTCATGCTTTCAATTAGTTGTGTTAGAATCATCGGCGCATTGCGGTGGTTTGTCGTTGCGGTGGTTTAATCGAATATAACGGCGAGCTTCGTTTTTATTGAAGAATAGCGTGCATTCATAAAAAAAAACTATTCTAAAATGGATACGTTTTTATTGATAGTAACTTTTTTAATTGGATATATAATATATTTTTTAATTAAATCTATGAAACGACCAACAGATTTTCCACCAGGTAAGCATTTGACATCCCCTAGTATAAAATATAAAAGTATTTTTTAAGTGCTGCATAAACTGATTGCATAAAGAATATTACATATACCAAAAATTTATAATTATTTATATTTAAATAAAAAACTGTACTTTATTTTAATTTTTAATTAATAATTTAAATATACAAAAAAATATGACTTGCAATTTCCTGCCTAATTTTCTTATTTTATGTTCGCTTAATTATAGAATAAATTTTTTTTATTATTAAACGAGTTTTTGAAGTGATAATATATTAAATTAAATAAAATAACGCGTGTAAAAACTAAAAAATTAATAAGATCGTATAAATACTTAAAAAACAGTTTTAATATTAGTGCAATTAATTTCAAGTTTTAATTTATTTATTATTATAAAAAAATTTTGGATCAAATGTCAAAGTTAACTAATAAATCAAATATTTTGAATTTGATCTCGTTTTTTGTAAAAGCTCTCACTTCTATGAAATGAGAAGGAGCAGGAAAATAAGAAAAATAAACAACAACACAAAAAAGCATAAAACGAAAGAATCAATCATGTGCCACTGTTTATTTTTATTTGTTCTAATAGATTTTGCATAACATACCGGCGTTTTTTAGGGTTTCGTAGTGAGAAACTACAAATTTCGGGTTATTATTTTAATATACAAACATTGAAGAATAAACACGATAATAATATTTAAAACATGTTATTAATTAATATTAAATGTCAATATTTTACTAACTATAATATTAATAAATATATTATATTAAATATTAATTTAATTACATATATATGAGAAATAAATAAATTGAGACAATGAATTTACAATTTATTGAATTATAGTTATTATATATAAAAATATGTGTTCTCTATGTATATATATATAGATTTATATATATTTAGTACTTAAATATTAAAACTTACATTAGTTGCTTTCGGCAGCTTTTAAGTTTCCAAAAAATAGCAAGTCGTTTACTGTAGGCGCTAAGCGAGATATTAGCATAACTGTTGCAATCTGTCAAATGTTATGTTTTCACAAAGAACAAACCTTGCATTTAAGCACATAATGCAAGCAAATTATATTTTGTATAAAAATAAATACTAAAGCTAAAATTAAAAATTAAAATGAATGCAGTAAATCTTCAACAACAAAATTAATAATAGTTTAGAATATATATGCTTGAATAAGTAATAACTTGTTAGCAAATAAGTTAAAAATTTTAAATCGCTTTTCAATTATTTAAAATAAATAAAAAAATTTATTTATTAAATATAAATTAAGTTTGCTATTAAAAATAATAGTCACTTTCGTCTGGAATATTTGACGTTAAATTACAACTTATATTCACAAAATATTGGTCTCGCCCGTGCGACTAGTGGAGTAACATTAGTATGACTTTCTCAGCATTACGTTCCTAGATTAGGTTCTATACATAAGAAAGAACAAATCATGCAACAAATAATGCCTCTACGAACAGAATAGTATTGAAATTTAACAATTAAAAATAAAAATATAATTAATTATTAATTCAATTATTCTACAGCTGGTTTATGATTTCGTTCTAATATATATAAACACAGCAAATAAAATTGTTAATAAAAACTTTCATAGCAAAAGTAACAAAACTTCAGAAAAATATGCGAACAAAAAAGTCAAGTACGGCTTTGGATCAGTTCGTTAAGGTGCGCTGATTCTGAGCTTCACATTTGGCAGGACCCGAGTTCGAATCCTGGTACTTGCAGTCTCAAACAAAAAAAAAAATTATTATTTACGAATAATTAAATACAAGAATTATTTCGAAGACCACTGATGATGGGTATTTGGCAATACTCGAAACAGCTGTATGGTTAGCCAAAAATTCAATTAATTAAAATAATTTAAAAAATAAATTTTTGTTGTTGTTTCACTTCTGTTCGAAAACCTCTTATTAAATTATTTATTAAATAAAATTTTTTAAAATATTTATTTTCCACAATTTTGAATCTTTTTAAAATATTTCAAAAACTTTTTAATTTTGTATGGATTTTTGTTCACAACTTTGACAGATGACTGGAATATTAGTTGAAATTTCCAATGAAGGTTCATAGTAGTTTGCTTATGGCTTTGGAAACATTTTTTTCTGTAGTTGCTTAATTGTTTTGCCACTTCATAGCAATTTTAAGCAACCACCATGCTGTTTTGTCACACTTAAAAGTTGCCGAAAGCACCAAATAATAAAAAACTGGTAAATTCTTATTATCCACATTCAAAATGGTCATTATTTGAAAGTGGAATCCATATAAATCGGTTCTTAACTGTGTCAAATAAATATTTGCTTGTTGTTCAGTTTTTTATAGCTTCTAGAATAATGTAATTGAATTTTAGAAGTTATCATATATTCTTTGTAACTATACTCCAAAAAAAAATTTAAAATTCCTGAAGTTTAGCTTAATAGCGCTTCAGCATTAGTAATAATAATAGTAGAAGGCTATATACTTTAGTTCTTGAAGTTAAGGTGAATGTAACTTGTGTAAACCGTAGCAATCTGAATTATTGGCAGTACATTTAAAGTATGTAGCAAGAATTTTGGATATCCTCCCACCGGTAACCGGTAATTAATGAAGAAGTGGGCACTTCACCAACAACTTGGATTATGATACAAAAAACTGAAGATAATCTTGGCAAGAGCGGACTAGTACCATTTATAAAAGTACATAGAGTGCCCTCGGGGACAAAAAAATGTTAACTAGCCGAACTTGTATTTTTGTATATTTTCTGAAAACATAAGAATATTTTAGGGTGATCCAGTATGTTCACGAACAAAGTATAACAGAAATAGTAGACGTTTTTATAGAAAATTATATATGCAATTCTTTGTTAATATATATTAAGAATGGAATTAGTTATAGTTTTTTTAGTTTTAGTGCTCATTGAGCAAAGTGAAAGTAAGAATCAAGACATCTATTTCGTTCAGCTTGCTGACTATTTATATAAGTTCTTCTCTAAAAGTCATCATATGTATCTGCTCATGGTGGGTATACTTGTCTCTACTTGATTCATTATTTTGAAGAAGTGTAATCCGTTTAATCTAGTCTAAATATGTACTATGACAGCAGTAATGATTTATGCACCGATTTTGCCTTCCAAGACTGTGATAAAGTTACACAATATTTTCAGATATATTCAATTTTTGTACTATTGGGTTGAAAATTATATGTTACGCTGATGTTACATTAAAATTTGACAAGGTACATATATATTGACAAGATAATGAGGTATTAACATAAAAAAAAAAAAAAATTAGCACAAATTTTGAGATAAATGATGTTTATCCAAAAGTGATTAAAATTTTTTTTTAAAAAATTTGTTTTTGAACCTTTATTTTCTAATTCATTTGAATACCAATTTTATGAGTATTTTTAGAATATTTATTGGACTAAAAACTAACCTTTTTGGTTTTTAGTAAATTAATACAATTATCCAGCTGTTTTGCTTCTTGATAAGTAAATTAGTGATCGTTCACATATTCAGTCATAATATTCTTTATAGTGTATATTTGAATTGTACATTTAAAAAATGATTTTAATTATCAAAATATTTCCCATTTCTTTCAACAACTTTCTGATATTGTTCGGTTAGAGGCATTATTCATTAATGTAGAATTATGTTTATTGCTACAAATGATAAAATAATATTATGGTTTATCACTAGTTTGTGAGTTGTATCATGACTGCTCGTATGATTTGTGATTTGCTGACCACAGTGAATGGCTTCTTTCACATTCGAGCAAATTATTATTTGTTAACTGCGACAAATTACCTATATAAACAGTATAAGAAGTCATAAGTCATCCTGGAAAACCCGTATTTACAAAACGTGACACAAGCATCTGTACAGACAACTAACACTCCTGTCTGGACTATAATAACAATAACAAACATAAATTGCTGTGATTTGAGGCGAACATTAAAATGCCGAATACTTTTTGCACAGTCTAATAACATAATAAAAATAAAATGGAATTTAAAAATAAACTTCAGGTTGTTGATATGATCTTGTTGTTAATATAGAGTAAACGTAATTATTTAAACCCTTTTCCACATAATTCTTATTTACTTATAAACCATTGTCTACAAATGGCTTATGTTATTAAACCCTATTTCATATTTTACGTAGCATTACAAGTAGAATTTTTAATCAAAATTTCCAGTTTTTGATAGTACGATAATTGATATTGATAAGGAGTTGCTTAATACAAGTTTTTATGGACTTATCAGATTTACACAATTTATTAAATAATTTCATTCAATTGCCTACTGAAACACAATACAAATTTTTGTTATTAAAACTATACAAGTACCCTATTTTCTAATCGTACAAAATAAAAAATAATAATATCTTTCTCTCTAGTTTATGTGGTATACCTTATTCTATATACCATATATATTATTGATTTTACAGCAAATTCAATTAAATAATAATTAATCGCTTTAAACTTGAATTCTATTCCATTTTGTTGTTTTAAACCAAAATTTCTTAAAATATAAATATATACGAGTATATATTAAATATGACAAATAAAATTACTATACTAATCTATATTTTTTAGGTCCTCAATTTCGTCCGTGGGTTGGAAATTCTTTTGAATTACGAAAAGACGCAATCGCCTTAAGTGGACAACATATGGCTTTCGAGAACTGGTCAAAGAAATATAATACAGATATCTTAGGCTTAAAGCTACGTGATGAACTTGTTGTTGTTGTTCTCTCTTATACACTTGTACACGAGGTACATTTGCAAGAAGTTTTTGAAGGACGACCGGATACCTTTTTTCTACGTTTACGTACTATGGGTACGCGAAAAGGTATAACCTGCACTGATGGAAAACTCTGGTATGAGCATAGAAATTTTGCTATGAAACAAATGCGTCATGTAGGTTATGGTCGGACACAAATGGAACAACATATCGAAAAGGAATGCAATAGCTTATTAACATATATTGAAAATACAAAATCAGAACCTATTTGGCCTGGTACATTTCTGGCACAAAGTGTAATTAATGTTTTGTGGTGCCTGACTGCTGGACAGCGTATCGAACGTAATGATAAGCGTTTGGTTAAACTGCTCGATTTGCTTAATCGTCGCTCAAAAGTCTTTGATCTTTGCGGTGGAATGCTGACTCAGTTTCCTTGGTTACGTCATATAGCACCAGACAAATCTGGTTATAATTTAGTGCGCCAAATGAATGAAGAGCTACATCATTTTTTTATGGAAACTATTGAAGAACATAAAAAACGATTGACACCCGAAAATGCTGATTCTGATTTAATTTTTGCATATATACGAGAAATGAATAACCATCTTGGTGCAGAAAATAGCACTTTTAATGAAACCCAACTTACCATGACAATTCTAGACTTTTTTATAGCCGGCTCACAAACCACTAGTAATACTTTAGATTTAGCCCTAATGATGCTCGCGACACGCCCAGATATACAACAAACGATATCTCAGGAAATTGCTGCTAATCTCAAGTTTAATACTGACGAGTTTCCTCATCTAAGTGCACGAACTTTCTACCCCTATTTGGATGCTTTCATTATGGAAGTTCAAAGATACTTTCATATCACACCCATAACTGGACCTCGCAGAGCATTATGGGATACAACTTTAGGAGGATACAATATTCCTAAAAATACAACGATATTGATTGGTCTACGCTCTGTACATATGGATAAAACACATTGGGGTGATCCTGACATTTTCCGTCCAGAACGTTTTATTGATTCAGAAGGTAAAACAATAAAAGACGAGTATTTCATGCCCTTCGGACAAGGACGCAGACGATGTTTGGGGGATGCATTAGCAAGAGCCTGCATTTTCTCATTTCTCGTAAAAATCATTCAAAATTATAAAATTGAGTGTGCAGAAACTGACAAGCCTTCGTTAATACTTCAGCCGGGAATCACATTATCACCAAAACCTTATAAAGTCAAATTTTTAGTACGTGAATAAAAATGTTTTTGTTATTTATTTTTATTTAGTTTTTAATGTTAATATTATAAATGTATTAAAACCAATAAAGTAAACAAATCTATATTGTAGTGTGTTTCTCACGTGTTTTAAAACATAAGTACAATCAAAAGTGATTGTTATGGTAAGCTTCTCGTAAGACAAAAAATTTTTTTTGTAAGTATATACATTAGAAATTTATCAACAAACTAACTTTGCTTGGTGTGAGGTCAAAGTGCCAAGTCCTGAAGTATGCTCACAATATTAGAGTAGTTCAAAGAAAACTCCATACCTGATCTTACTTTGAGATCTCCCAATTATGATACACGGTATATATAGTAATTCAACAAAGTTCTCACTTGTAATAATGCAATAATTTAGTATATTACAATAAAATTTGTTTTTGATATAAATAGCAGTGTATATCTATTGCCAAGATAATAACTAATAATTCTCTGTGAATGAGAAAAAACTTCTGAGTGAAACTCAGTTTCAGTCACTAAAATGATGTGAGGTTTGTTGTTTCCGAAAAAGGAAAAAAGTAGGCTTACACAATTTCGAGACAAATAATTTAAAACTTTTTATTCAAAATGCATAGATCATCCCTTTCTGCTCATCTTAAGGAAATCATGTAAAAGGTTTTAAATACAAAATCATTGGATTTAATTTTAAATGAGAATGAGTAGCGATATAATTGATGATAACACTAATATATATTTGAACCATAACTAAAAACAATCATTCCGATCTAAATAAATTGTTATGATAATTGTCTGAAAGGATTATATGGCAAGAACATAAAGAACAGGTACTTCTTATTGAACTTCTTAAACATTGATTTTGCAGAAAATGTTTTGCGTCTTTAATTTCAGAATGTGTATTGAAGAATGCAGTATATGTCCTATGTACTAACTGAGATGATCAGATATACCTATTAGTGATAATATCAAGTTAGTTTATAAGTGTTGGGACTATACTATCAGGTGGTTGAATATCTCATAGCAACAAATTACTAATTTATGTCGGATGTGATACTTATATTCAAAGCTAGCTGCTGTACTAAATATAAGGGTAAGTGCCTTCTCATTTTTTATTTAGTAGTCTAGTATTGGAATTAGAATTTACCAAATAAATATATATACCTATAAGTTAATTTTAAATGTTATAATAAATAAAATAAAATAACTGAGAAATGTTATTTATATACTGAACTATATTATTAATAAAATAATAGTTAATAGTAATCCATAGACGTATTTGGTATTAACATGTTACATTTATTCCTGTGAATATATAGAATACTAGCGGAGCCAACACATGTTGTCCGGAATGGTATACTAAGCGATTAGGATATTAAACAAAGTAAGATATGAAACACACATATAATGTAATAATTTTCTTATTCTTTACTTTGAAATAACATCAATTTTTCTAAAAACAATTCGTAATAATCAATAATGTTTGTTTAATTTCATCTTAATACGAGTTGATGAACAGTCACAGTTTTTAGTCAATTCTTGAGGAGTATAAATGAATAAATTTGACGGTTTTCCAACGCGAGAACACGTCACATATAATTGGCCATGTGAAAAGATCTGATTTTCTACATCTATCCCACAAATCGACATTGTTTGACCTTGTGACTAATTAATAGTCATGACAAATGCCAAGCGAATTGGAAATTGCAGACGTCTGAATGGAATGGGTGCGTCTGAAGGGATCATTGGGATTCGTGGCAGGAGAAAAGCTTCACCTTCAAATTTGTCATTCAAAATTGTAGCTTCAAGTACATTGCCCATAATTTTTTTTATGACTAATCTCGTGCCGTTGCATAGCTTAGGTGAATAGATTAGGTGCATTTTTCGCAGCATAATTATAGGTGAGCCAATTTTTAATCTTAAGTTATGTGGTGGCATTCTTAAGTTATGGTGGTAAGCATGAATAAATTTTAAATATCTAATATAAATGTATACGGACACCAAAAAACTGTTTAATAATTAAAAAACATTATCCAGTGCACCAAATTGTGAATCTAACCATTCTCGAATCCACTTGAACACACACGAAAAATTTAATCAAAATCGGTTCAGCTGTTTAAAAGGAGGTCACTGTCAACATACGTACAGAAGAATTATATATATAAAGATATTAAATTTGTTTAAATATTTCTTATAAATTAAAGGAATCAGACCAAGTCCAACGATCTTTCAACATTTGGATATCTTTTAAATAAAACGATTTATCAAGTCCTCCAAAATATACCTTTCTCATTTCACTTTATTATTTGATTCCACTTCAATCTCTTTCCCTTGAGCCATTTTTTCAAATATGGAAACAGGTAATAGTTACTGTGAACCAAATTTAAAGAACACGGTGGATGTAGAAGCAATTCGTACCGTAATTAAATTTTTCATTGACGAGTGCGCTGGTGTGGTATCCTGTAAAAGCAAAATTTTACGACAAATCTTCCAAAAATGTGGTGGTTTTTATTGTTATTTTCTCATTTAATCTATCCAATAATATGCAATAGTAGTCTGATGTTATTCTCTTTCCTTTTCCAAATAGTTTATGAAAATTTTTCCACTTGAATCCTAAAATACGAAAGCTAAAACTTTGCCGATTGTTGAGTTCGTGTTCATTTGAGAACTCTACCCACGGGCTGTACCCATCTCTGTTTTATCAATTGTCACTATTCGACACTCACAGTCAGTTTTGGATGACGAAAGTCATTATCGTTTTTAGTTAATTGTGAGCAAACGCAACACCCAGAAAGCCAAATATTCATATAAAATATTCGATACACATTCATATGATATGTTTGTCACCTCTGCTATCTCACGCAATTTAATTTTTGAAACATCCAACACAATATCGTAGATGTTTTTAAATATTTTTTCATTTGTGATCTCTTTTGGGTGATTCGTACGCTCTTCATTAAAAATACTCGTACGACAACGTTTAAATTCAGCTTTCCAATATTTTATTGTTGTTAGTGATGGTGTCAAGGTAGCTGTAAACAGAATCCATTTCCAATTTGGTTGCATTATTGTTCATTCCTTTCAAATGGATGAATTTTATTACTGAACGATATTTAATTTATTTCATTTTATAAAAAATCACCAAGGTGCAATATTTCAATTATTTGCAAAAAGCTAACCAAACATCTGATAAAGTCGAAACTTATTAATCCACCTAGTATATGAATGAATGATTCATAAATATACAATGATGCCG